AAATAAATAAATAACACGAAACTTAGATAGATATAGTTCTTTGGCACATCTATTAGCATAAAGGACAACAAGAAAGGAGCACCAATGCGAAAATTCAAATAGATTTGAATTCAAGGAGACATATTTGTTTCATTAAGTTATAATTAAAAAAACTCCTTCAATAAAGAGAGGACAATTTTTTGGTAAACTTCTAAGTGCAATCTAGCTAGCAATAAAAAAATTTCAAGCTCTCTCTTTAAACTCAAATGAATCTTTCAGCTTCTAAAAGCGTCTAATATGTATACCTAAAGACATTGAAATAAGACTAGCTTGGAGGGTGTGGTTGAGTGGAAGGAACTCATCCATCATTAACCAAAGGTCAAGGGTGTGGCTAAGTACTATAAGGAGACTTCATGGTAGATCCGTATGAAGAAAAGTTGTGAGGAAGTAGAAATGAAACCAAGTAGTGAGGTGACTTTGTGACAGACCTTTGCGAAAGGATTGTTCCACTTTGTATTTGGTGGCATAATGCATTAGTGAATCGAATTTCCTCATTGGTGATAAAGAGAATAATATATAGATTAGAAAAATTTTACCCTCTGCTAAACCATTATATAAAATTTTTATCTACTTTTTATGTTATACATTTTATATTTTGTGATTTATATATACTTGCACGATTCATAACAAACAAATTAAATGTTTTAATTGATCAAATTGTTAACTTAGTATGTACAAGGTTACAAGTTTGTTTCTCAACAAGAGCGGCATATTGATATTATTAGTCTGAGTCAGTTAGTTATGGACAATCTAAATCGATATATTTTTTTGTAGTCATTTGTCTATTAGGGTCATAAGGTGGGATTTATCTATCCCAGTGCACATTATTGCGTAATGACTACGAGTTTTCCTCGTAACTCAAAATAAAATAAAATAAAATGCTTTAAAACTTAAACTAACTTGTGTTATTTTCAAACAAATAAATTTAATTTTTATTTTTTTATATATGTAATTAAAGAATCTAGGATTGTGAGATTTAAACCAGGCCAGTCATAAGATAAATATTTTAATCACGGACATATTTCATGCGTAATTAGATTATAACCATATGTATATTTCCCAGTTTATTTATTTGTTTGTTTTAACTTTTAATGATTTAAGTGGCCGTTAGCTTGGCGGTAGCTATGGGTGGCAGCAGCACAGCCGTCGGTTCGCCGCATAGGAAGGACAATGATTTTGAACATAGAAGAGAATATTGATGGACCCCACCCACCATACTCAAGATTCTCTCATTGATATTCCCCCCTTACTTTTCATTTTTGTCCTCTCTTCCATCAAATGTCCATTTTCCTTCTATTTTTAATTCCCACTTTTTTTAATAAAAATATTTTTGTAATTTCAATTTTTAATTCTTTTGGATTTTATAAATTTTTAATTTAATTTTTGAATGTATAAATTTTATGGAGTAAATTAAATATTAAATAATAAATAATTCAATTTGTATAATAAAGGGAATACATAGTAAAGCAATTTAAGCACCAATTCACAATTTCTTCCTTTCAATTTCTTTTTTTTTTTTAACCTTTTAAAAAGTTTCTAAAAAATCTTGTACACGTGGTCCACCTCAATTGTCACAACGTACGACTTGACTCACACAGATTAAATGTATGTGTACCTTCTTAGTTGCAAAATTTTGACGTTAATGTCTTGTTCCCTAGTTAAAAAAATCTGGGACAAAGGGAAATGTGGCGCAGAAAAAAAAAAAAAAAACTTTTCTGGTGGATAATTATTGTCATAACAAAATTACTATTATATTTATAAGATCACTTTTATATTCCGTAATAATTAAAATATGAGACAAAGGTATGTTAGTACATAACTTTTTTGTTTGAAATATAATGTTCCCTAGAAATATAAAATGTGACTTTTGACTTTTAATTTAATAGTATACTAGTCAAATTTCGTGCATTAGACAACTAATAAATGTTTAATAAAAAATATAAATTAGAATAATAGAAATACTCAATACTTCACAAGAAAAGAAGAAATGTAAAAGTAAAAACAATATGTAAGAGCAGAAGAATATAAATACAATGTACACACAAAGAGTATGTTCAAGTGAGAACAATGGTTCTTATTATTAAAAAAAAAAAAAAAAAAAAAAAAAAAAAAAAAAAAAGTGAAATAATGTTAGCCTTCTATCTAAGAAAATCAATTACTCAAAATTTTATAAAAAGAACACAATGACATTTTCGTAATTATTACAACAATAAGTGATTATACCAACACATTAAATATGAGTAAATACCAATTTTGGTCCCATAAGTATTAGCAAAATGACGGTTTTAGTCCACATGTTTAATTCCTACCAATTTTCATCCACGACTATTGTTTTAGTGCCAATTTTAATTCATGACTATTATTTTAGTACCGAAATTCATCACGTCAGTCACCCATCAATTTAAGACATCCTGAAATCTAAAAATTTTAAGGGCATTTTCGTTATTTTCAACTTAATATTCCAATTTGAGCATAAATAAATGAATTTAAGCCCTAAGACTGATCCCAATTCGCAGTTCTCCTCCTCATCCTACCTTAATTTGAGGAGGAAAACTGCGAATTGGGATAGATCTTAGGGCTTAAATCCCTTTATTCATGCTCAAATATGGATCCTAATTTGAAAAGCACGAAACTACCCTTAATAATTTCATATTCCGACATGTCTTAAACGAAGGAGTGACCGGCGTGATGAATTTTGGCAGTAAAACAATAGTTGTGGATGAAAATTGGTACTAAAACAATAGTCGTGGATGAAAATTGGTAGGAATTAAACATGTGGACCAAAACTGTCATTTTGCTAAAACTCGTGGGACCAAAATTGGTATTTGCTCCATTAAATATTCCTGTTAGAGTCTTACTCTTATGGACTCTTATATAATTTTAGATAGATAGATATTATTTTTGTTTGATGTCTGGAGTCGATACCTTATTTAAGAAAAATGAAATCAAACTGGGATTGATGCGTGGTTAGCAATATTATTTGTAGTTGTCGATACCTTAAACATAAGTGTCACGCAAGCTAGAATGATTTTGGTGTCCCTTTTATGTGTGGTAATGGGCGGGCAACAGTGTCTTATAACCACAGAAATGACAAGTAATTATGTGGTCAAATAGGTATTATATCCCTCCCGGCCACGGCTAAAAACAAAGTACATTAGTAGTGATGAGTGAATGAATCCCATGATCTGATTGATTATTACATTGGAGCTTATAAGGAGCAGTGGTACTTATGTTTAAGAATGATGGGTACTTCTGTGTCCCAGAATCCTCCCTTTTACGTGTCTAAAACCCCCTTCATCACTCCATCATGTGTTATGTGTATGCCTCAGCTTTCACACAATATTACTGTTCCTCATTCACTTTGCAAACCAACCAAACCCTCTGCATGCGGTCCAGTTCATAGATAAAAGCCAATGTTTTTTGTTTCAACTTTTTTTTTATATAGAGACTTCTCTCTATTGTTATACCATCGTGGACCCTAATCTAAAAATTATGAGAAGTCTGACAAATAGCTGTTAGCTGATAGCAGATTAAGTTAGTTGATAGTTGTTAGCAGATTTGACTAGCTAATAGCATTAGCTAGTTGTAAAAAGATGTTCAGTAAATTAGTTATTAGCTGATAATTGCTTACATGTAAAATGACATTTACAAGTATAGCTTATTTTTTTCAAAAAACTGTTTTGAATAGCTTTTTGAATTTTAACGTTTTGGAGTAATAAATTATTATAAAAAGCTGATTAGCTAAACACTCATATTGGCTATTTAATCGGTCAAACAGCTAATGGTGATCAAATAAGTCAAAATTGATTGATAAGCTAACTAAGTTAGCAAACAAGTCCTATGTGTCTACAATTAACAAATTGAAAGCAAATAATATGTTAACAGTATATTATGTATCTTTAATTAATGTATTATGTGCTTTCAATTTATTTATAAACATATAATCTATTAACTATGTAGAATTTGGTACATGGTATAATTTGCCGAGTTTTCTGTATAGAAGTTTGACGGTGATTTTATTTTAAATTTCTTGAAACCCAACTGGATTAGCGAATATATGCGCACCGCCGTACACTTGCCTGGGTCGGGTCCTTTTCCAAAGATAAAACAGTAAAGTTGGTGTTGGTGGGGGTGGGAGATAATAACATTGCAGCAGTACACTTTGCCACTATTTTTAGTTTTTTACCATCACGTACCATTGATTCAATTGTTATACTATGGAACAGGGTCAAACTTGCAAGGTGGATTATGGTCTTAAATTATGTATTTTTAGTATTATAATTGTGACCATTTAGAATATAAATTGTGTTTCTAAGTTTTGAAAATGTATAAATACAATACACGATCATCACAAATTGTAAATTTTCAAAGATAAATTAATATGTAAATTGTGTATCTTTAGACAGGTAAACTTGGGTACACATAATAATTTGCCACATTGATTATGCAGGGTGTTCGAGTTAATATATCAAGCCTGGATATTAATAACCCACAGGGATAAATCAAAGAATGCCCACTAAATTATTAAAGTCCAAAGGGAAAGATACAAGGACAACTTTTTAGTTTTTTTCTTTTCTTTTCTTTTTCCTTTTTATCTAGGATAGCAAATGGGCAATGTGGGACAAAGATTATTTAAAACCCTACCTTATTCCTTATCCCAGAAACCCTACCCCATTCTCTAATGTTGTTAGGGGAAGAAAATATTTCTCTATCCCTATCTCTCTGTTCAACCCCTAATCAAACTAATACAATTCTCAATATTTAAGTGAAATATCATTTACAAAATGCAAATTAGAACACAAATACATAATTACAAAATGAAATAATCTTCATTTTTCATCCTAAACCTGAATTGGATGCACTTTTAACACTATGTTTTTGTTCTTGAATAAACTTCATGGTTAGATGATAATTAGGCTACAGATTAGTCAGAGTCTAATATTACTACTTACTACCGAATCTTTAACCGAGAAAACCATTTTTTTAAAAGGTAATAATAACTAAAAGAACCTAGTATTACTACACAGGCTTATTATTGATTGCTTTAGTACATCCATAAAGAATCTGAAGCAAAAACCTTAAAGCTTCTCCATGGCATCAAGAAAAACTACTTGACAACAGTGAAAGACAAGAACATTAGGCAAATACTAGAAAACTTTCTGGAAGCTTGCCTCAATCTGTGTTGTACTAGGAGAGAATGCTGCATAAATACCTGCAAACAACACTTCATAGTCTGCTCACTCATGCAATTCAGCTCAACAAGTGTTTTTTTTTTTAAAGAAAAAAACACCCTTTTTATATTCTTATATACTCGTATATAATTGCCATTCCTTCTTCCTCAAGGGGTGTTACCTCGAGACTTGAATGCTGACCACCATGAGGATGGTCAAACGGTGAAAATTATTCAAGGAAATAAGGGCATGCAAAGGAGCCCTGTGTTTTCTGGAATTCCCATCATTATGTTGAGGTTCTGCAAGGCTTGACCAGAGGCTCCCTTCACAAGATTATCAATCTGCAGCAAGATCATTAGGAATTTAGCCCCAAAATATTTGCAGGAGATGACTAGTTTGATACAGATACAAAGTAAATCCGGCAAAATAATTCCGAGGACTTACGACAGATATTATTATAGCTCTCCCAGGAATTCGGTCAGGAAAGACATTCATGAGGCAGTAATTGGATCCCCGGACATGTCGGGTATGAGGAACTTCTTTGTCCTTTAGCAATACCACAAATTCTTCGTTCTGGATAGATTAAAAAACAATCAATTTGGCCCCTTTCTCCAAAGAACCAAAAGGTGCCATTTTTTGGTCTAACATATTTTGCAAAAGTTCTGAAGTTCATGACAATCATCACACACAACTCGATCACTTTTTATTTTTGGAATAAGGGTCAATAGGCCACCAAACTACACACAAAACTGCAATGGCCATTGAAAAAAAAAAAAAAAAAAAAAAAAAAACCATAATTGGATCCCTAAACATCGCAAAATCATGCAATTGAACCAAAAGTGACTTGTTTACCTATTAGTTGCTGATGTGGTAATGTGGTGGTTACCAGATTAAAAAAAAAATTTTAAAAAAACCTGCTCGGCTTTGTCTCAAGACTGCTGGAGTGCCGGAGATGAAGAGCTCTTTGTCTCCATGCCAGAGACGACAGGACCTCTTCGTCTCGTCCCTAGGCTGCCGGAGATGAAGACTGGTTTTTCGTCTCCGGCAATCTAGAGACTTAGCCGAGCAGGTTTGTTTGTTTGTTTTTATATTTTATTTTTTTATTTAAAATTATTAGAATAAAATTGTAAAAAAATATTTTTTTAAATATGGTAACCGCCACATAAGCAACTAATAGGTAAACAAGCCACTTTTGGTTCAATCGCATGATTTTGCGATGTTCAGGGATCCAATTGCAGTTTTTTTTTCAATGACCCAATTACAGTTTCGTGTATAATTCGGTGGCCTATTTTGACCCTTATTCCTTTATTTTTTGAGGTTTTTGATATATGAAATGAAGACAATGACTAGAAAGAACTTATCATTCCATCTCAATGGGAGAACAATCAAATAGGACAGGTAACAGGTTGGGTGATTCACAATGGTTGCAGACCTGATAATTAGGTACGGATTATTAAAAAGTTAAGACACAAACAACAGACCTCATAACATCTCCGCAAATGCTGGTATAATTCATCAGTTGTCACTCCAGGAGCCATTTCCACATATATAGTTGATTGCATGCCACGGCTCTGTCAATCAACAAGAGTGTAAAAGAAACAACATAAATACCTCAGAGATGAACAAGCAAACATCAATAGTTTAGAAGTTGCGGAAGGTTTTAGCTATTACCATTGGCATTAAGTGTGGAGTGAAACTAACAGTAACTTTTGAATTAGCAACTTCTGACAATCCTTGTTCAATCTCCGGAACTGCAAATCAAAACAGAAACCCTATCGCCACTTTAGTGGTCTAGAGCTAGAGATGGTAGGTAGCTCCCATCAGCCGTGCAAAATTTGTTTTAACTACAAAGTAACTACTATTTCCTAGCCTGGTGAAACTTCACGTTGGATCAAATGACAAAGTAGTCCATTTCAGGGTTAAACAATTATTGAAGATCTAACAAGGCCCTTCAAAAAATCCCCTAACATCTTTTAAATCAGAACTATACATATCAAGGTGCAGAAATCTTTGAGTTGCAGAATCTAGGCATATATCATATGGTTCTTGATGGAAAAATGCCTTCTTCTTCTTCTTATTTTTTTTTAATAAAAAGAGAAATTAGGAAAATATAAAATAGGATTATTATTATTATAATATAATAAGGAGTAGCAAATACACCTTATGCATCACTATAATTGATTATCAATACGGCAACGTGCAGTTATTATAATATATGGAGTAGTAGATATTTCTTATGCATTACTATAATTTAATTACTCACCATGGCGATGCCTTGTAATACCATAAGAATGAATCCCTTCTGCTATTTCAGTGTACAAATTGGCCTCTTTTGCACCACGTCCTGTAAGATAACACAAGTGCAGGAAATTGTTCTGTGATGCTTAAATTCAAGTAGCACAAATGACATGGATTATATTAAGGATGACTAGCTTTTCTTATATAACAAACCTGCTCCGCTAACACCAGATTTTGAGTCAATTATGATGTTTTTGAGTCCAATCAGGTTAGCCTGCAAGAGTTGAGAAAACAATTAAAGAAACAACAGGGGAAAAAAAAAAAGAAAAAGAAGCAAGCCTTAAACGCTCCAAATGGCCCATGAAATCCATTTACAGGCCAGTCATTTAGGTTGAAATATGACTTAAGCTTCTAGCCATTACTCAGGCTATTTCATAATCAAGATAAACAAGATATTGATCTCAATTAACTGACAAAAAAAAAAAAAAAAAAAGGCAAAATGTGTAGACATAGTTCAACTAAACAACAACCTTTATCAAGGGAATTAGAGGGAGTTGGATAGATGTTGGATAACAGCCTGGATTTGCAACTAATCGTGCATCTTGGATTTCTGTTCTATAGATCTCAGTCAAACCATATACTACTTCTTTCTGCATTCAAGTGCAAGAAAGCATTACAAAATATGAAAACCTTAGGTTAGATAAGAGGAAACCATTAATCAGATACAGAAAATCATTACATTCAACTCATGTTTCATGCAGAAAAAAATCTTTAAAACTAGAGATGCTGAATACTTTATTGATAAATTTTATAAGTTTAGTTATAGACCTTCATCATTGTCATTTATTTCTTTCATAAAGGAGTTACTCCAACTCCAAGTGAATGAACGTACCTGCAACTCTGGTGCAATGTGTGGCTGACCATACCATTCATCATATTCGGCAACATCACGCAGTCGGAAGTCCTACACATCACATAAACATTGCATCAGTCAGATAGTGCAACATTTCCCGAAAGTATCAAAAGATACTTGCTTGTGAACACAGTACAGTGTATGGTAAAACAATTGGTCAGTATCATACCGCAGAAAGATCAACAACTTTTAGGCTAGTTGGCAGACCTTTGATGATTTCCTAAAAAATAAAGTAATCAGCAATTGTTGGAAGAGCATAGATATGTTTGTGTCTATAGATGAATCAGTTACAATCAATATAAATTCTGTTATATGGCTAAAGGTGTAAACTTCATCATGAGACGGCAAAGAATTGTCTAAAAACCTGGGTTGTTCCATGTGGTAAACAACAAAACACTGCATCCACAGAAGAAAAATCTGCATCCTTGACAGCAACCAGGTTTGGCAAATCCTGAAAGAAACGTAAAGTTGTACATAATTAAAGAGGAATGTATAATAAAACCAAAGGAATTCTCGGGGGAGATATGGAAAATAATATATCTAATGATGATGACATTGAGATCCTTACTTGTGATACCAAGTGAGGAAAAACAGATTCTATCGATTGACCAGCTTTTCTATCTGCAGTCATTAGAGTGATCTTGAATTGGGGATGATTTGCCAGGAGTCTGATAATCTGCAAAATGTTGGGGAATCAGTAGCCTAAAAACAAGTTCATATATCACCCAAGAGAGTACAAACCAGAATTTTGGGAGAATACATATAACCCTTTACAGATCATCCAGTTTCATTAATCAATATTGAATTCAAAGTTCAAGAACTCACACCATGTCACCCATCTCAAAACTGCAAACAACTTCCTATGCAAAGCAGTGTCTTCTAGTAGCACTGTGGCAGTACACTGGAGTCACCAAATATATTTAAACACATTCGACAAAAGGGCGCTCAAGAAATCAATATTCAGTAACTTCTGAATTCCATTTCCACAACTATAAATAAAGATTATTCTACGGACCATTCAGATAATGACACTAACTGTATTAATGATTTCCGATGAAAGCTAGTACCTCAGAGCCAGTATAGCCACTAGCTCCAAGAACACCAATTCGAAACTTTTCTGATTGTTGAGCTTTAGCCGCCGAAAACTGCAAACTTTGCGGTGGAGGTGACGCCACTGAAGAAGCTCTAACACAGAGCTTCCTCGGCTTTGAACTCTTCAATTCATCCTACAATATAAACTGCATTAATCATTCGCCCTCTTCGCAAGAACAAAATCTTACAAATTTCTGAAAAAAAATAAATAAATAATCAAGAAAATGAACCTGAAACTTCAAAGGGTAACCTCGATCGAGACAACTCGAACTAAAAGCACCTAAAGAACTCATCTTTACGGCTAAACTCTGAGTGTGAGACGAGGGAAACTTTATAGACCAAAAAAAGTAAAAAATTGTAGGCTCGTAGCAGAAATGGGAAGCTCAAGAGTCAAGAGCCCAACACCGACAGCGGCGGAGACAGTGGTATGGCGCAGAACTACAGAAACTATTACTCCGTGTATTCGGTCATTTGAAGGAAAAGGACGGGAAAGACGAAGACTAGAAGCGGGTTAGCCCGGAATTTCGTAAGCAACAACTAGGGTCTAGGGATTGCAATTCGTCACCAAAAGTCCAAAACACGTTGGTCAGCAGATTTGATTTTTTAAATTTTGTTAACATCTTTTAATTTAGACAAATGTAATACTTGATCATTAAAATCTTTTCATCAATATTCAATCACCCTATGCTATGTAAACATCAATTTAAGGGTTAAATTTATTTTTTCACAACCTGTGTCTTCAGTTTGCGAATCTATTAATGAACCATGATAAATGACTAAGATTGTACTCAGTTTTTACAAGAATATATATATATATATATATATATATATATATATATATATATATATATATATATATATATATATATATATATATATATGCGTGATTGATTCTCATTTCTCTATTTTTTTTTGTTTCACAATAAATGCACTTTCTCTCTCTATCTCTAAAAATAGCAATTATATAAATCTTAGATTTGCTACAATCACTCTCCGAATTGCACTAATCACTAACGTGTTGCTCCAATCAGTCTTTCGATTGCTCATAAATCATAGATCGGCTTAGATAGCATACCTATTTGGTGGAAATAGGTACTTCTCTTTCACCCCATATATATACACACATAACACGCACGCTTGATTTTCGTTTCTCTACCTCTCTTTTTGTCTCATACACATATTCTCACTCTATTTCTCTCTAAAAATAACAATTATATAAAGCGTAGATTCACTCGGACCATTCCTTCGATGGCTCCAATCACTCTTCCGATTTGCTCCAATCAGTCCCTATCTATATCTAAAAATAGCAATTATATCAATCTTAGATTTGCTCAAATCACTTCACCGATTGCCCTTGCTAATCACTCACCCATTGGTCCAATCATTATTTCGATTGTTCATAAATCATAGATCGACTTGGATAGAATACCCAATTAGTGAAAATAAGTACCTCTCTTTCACCCCATATATATATACGCACACAACGCGCACGCTTGATTCTCGTTTCTCACTTTATCTTTTTGTTTTATACACATATTCTCTCTCTACATCTCTATAAAAATAACAACTATATAAATCTTAAATTCGCTCCGATCACTCCTCTACTTGCTCTAATCACTTCTCCGTTGCTCTGATTAGTCTTCCAATTGCTTATAAATCTTAGATCGGTTTAGATAGCTTACCCAATTGGTGGAATAAGGTAATTATCTTTCACCTTTACGATTGAATTCACCCATGGTGTAATATTGAGATAACTAGTTAGGTACCTCGTTTCTTCTTCAAATTTGGTCTAAGACAGAAGTGTAGAGTTCATTGAGCTATTTAATATCACAAGTCACTCCATATCTTTACGCACACAACGCGCACGCTTGATTCTCATTTCTCACATTCTCCTTTTGTCTTATACACATATTTTCTCTCTACCTCTCTCTAAAAATAACAACTATATAAATCTTAAATTCACTCCGATCACTCCTCTAATTGCTCCAATCACTTCTCCGTTGCTCTGATCAATCTTCCAATTGCTTATAAATCTTAGATCGGTTTAGATAGCTTACCCAATTGGTGGAATAAGGTAATTCTTTTTCACCCATGGTGTAATATTGAGATAACTAGTTAGGTACCTCGCTTCTTCTTCAAATTTGGTCTAAGAAAGAAGTGTAGAGTTCATTGAACTATTTAATATCACAAGTCACTCCATAGTAGAGGTGTCAAACGGACAGGTTAATCCGAAGTACAATCTAAACCTGACTCGCTTAAGCCGTCCCGATCCAGTCAATTTACTATATAGCATACATGTACGACGGTGGGTGAACAAGGCATAGAAACCACTCATATCATGTGGATTTTGCCTTCCGTACACTTACAAATAAGGAGGCCATTGGTGCTTTACATACACCATGTTTCGGACAAACATTTCCTTTTAAACCACTAAAGCACAAATAGTCAATAACTATTAAAATATCAATTTTCTATAAATTTATAACACTATTCGACATTGTTTTTTGTATCGTTTTATGTGTATGTTAAATAAACACTTTTTATAATAAGATCATCACCATTCACCAATAATGCATTTTAGGCGAGACTTTTCTACATTTAAGTGAGTAATAAAAAAATGTATCTAAAGGTGATTTTGTGAGGAAAATAAATAAAAAACACCGCGGATACTCGTGTTGCTCGCCAACCATGTCTAATGAGTGCCAATTTTTTTATTTGTTTTTTTCCCCATATTTTCCTTCCCCATATCTTTCTTATTTGACAAAATTTGACAAAATTCCGATACTATTGAGATTTTGAGATGCTCTATTTTGGATAAATTGACTACTTTTTAAATGCTTTCCAACTAAGTAAAGAGTCATCCCATTTCCCAGGTGGCCAGGTGAACCATATCATAAAGCAACTTGCGTTTGCTATTGATGCACAAATAATAAATAAAATATCATTTATTTGAACTCACGTAAGAATAACAATAATGAAGCATGGTTGCATCTCCCTCTTAATTCCCCTCTTTAAAAGTTAATTTTCTGTCTCTAAATTTGATTGATTAAAATACTAATTTATTATTTTAAAAGTCTACAAAATCATAATTGAATACACCCTTAAGGGACGTGGTAGTGCAATAATATGTGAAATTGTTTTTTATAAACAATAAAAATATTATTTTTACTATTTAATAATATGATATTTGATGATAGTTTCTTTGTATTTATTAATTCAAATTACAACAAATATGATATTAAATAATAATAATAATATTAATAATACTCCATAAAACACGAAATTAGTGTCCAAACACGACTCTAAGTCTCTAAGAAGGCGTCTGTATTTTATTCTATCTCTAAAACCCTCCCTATTTCTCTCTCTATCCTCTTCTCTCTTATTCGTCATCTCTTTTTAGCTTGATGGAGGTGGGAGCTAACCTCCATCATAAGCAGCGCGCCATTTTTTATTACAGAAAACCCTAATGTTCTGCAGAGAGGCACGTCAATTGACTTCTCTGATTGAATTCGAGTTTCAGAATGTTTCCGTGGAACATCGCCAGGTCGGCGGAGGCCATGTTCTCCCGCTGGGCGATGAAGAGGGTCTGCAAGTTCGTGTTGAAGAAGAAATTGGGGAAATTCATACTTGGAGACATCGATCTCAACCAGCTCGATGTCCAGCTCAGCGCCGGAACCATTCAGCTCTCTGATCTTGCTCTCAACGTTGATTATCTCAATCAAAAGGTACCGTTAGCGCCGGTACATTCGTTGCCTTTTTTGTTTTCTAATGTCTTGTATAATATAATGATCATAATACGAAGAAAGCTTTAGGGTTGCAACTTCATCCTTTCCTTCAACTGAATTGGTAGGCAATTAGGTATAAGCTGAGGAAAACTTAGAGATTTATAGTTGATAAGCTATTACGCTAGCTGAATTGGGAATTTTGGTTATAAACCTGCCTTTTTACAGCTGAGGACGTTACTTTCAAGTGCTCACATGCTTGATCGTGACATACTTTCCTTTTACCCTTTTATGAGTTTAAATTGTTTTCTTCCTCCACTCCTAAAGCCATTTGGTACAGTTGAAAAACCCAAAAAAAAAAAAAAGAAAAAAGAAGAAGCTTACTTTGCCTTGTTTGATTGCATATGATACAGCACATTTTATCTTCTATTTGTAGTGTAATCAGTTACAATAAAATTGTGAAACAAACTTGTTTGTTTTATACTACTCTAATTTAATTAACTGTAGTGTAGGGAGTAATGTTCCCAGCAGAACAGGTTTCATTCCCTCTGTTTTGGGTAGTCTTAATGAAGGACGTCATTGTCTTTATTTCAATCAATATCTAGTTTGAATTTACCTTGTATTTTGGACCTCGCTGATAGAACCACGTGATTCTGAGGGTTGATTTAGGCTATGATTACACATGTCTCATATAAAATATAACATTATTCCTATACCAAACTTCTTTATACCCTTTCGCAGAGTTCGCTTTTTCCATGTAGAGAAGGTGGAAAAGTGAACCTCACACATTCTCATTTTACAGACCATTGTACCCTTCTGTTTTCCAGTTTGGTTCCACGTCAGCAGTAGTGATGAAAGAAGGTTCTATTGGCTCTTTGATGGTTACGATGCCCTGGAAGGGAGATGGATGCAGTGTAGAGGTTGATGAACTTGAGCTTGTTTTTGCTCCTCGTTCATGCCATGTCTCTGGAAATGGATCTGGAGCTTGTACATCCAGTCAGGAACCTCAGGACCACTATGTCAGCCATGGTTCGCCTAATCTTGAGCATGATACTGTTGATAATGCTGGAAGAAGCACTTCCTTGGATGTTCATGAAGGAGTCAAAACTATTGCCAATATGGTAAAATGGCTGCTCACGAAATTTCATGTGAAAATTAGAAAAGTGATTGTAGCATTTGATCCTTGTTTTGCTGCAGAAAAGGACAAAGGTCTTAGTAGAATATTGGTTCTAAGGTTGACTGAGATAGACTGTGGGACATGCATATCTGAGAGTGCTTCTTCAGATTGTGAGGTGATGGCTGGTAACTTACTTGGGTTAAGTCAAATGACCAACTTTGTCAAGTTTCAAGGAGTGGTACTTGAATTTCTTCACATGAATGGTATTGATGACAAGACACCATATCCATGTGCTTCGGGAACAACAGTTGGTGAATGGTCAAGCGGCTCTTACCGAAATGTGACCATCCCAGTAATCACTGGTGAAAGTGGTGGGTTTTCAGGGAGTCTGAAATTGTATATACCTTGGAATAATGGTTCTCTTGATATGCACAAACTGGAGGCAGATGCTTTTATTGATCCCTTGCAATTGAAATTCCAACCTACTAGTGTTAGAAGCTTCATACACTTGTGGGAAATTTTCAAAGACATGGGGGATAAGAACAGGAACAGCATCATTAGCAAGGGAACTGAATCTGACCACTGCAATGAACAGCTGAATTATGGCTTATCAAATACAGATTCTTGTAGGCTTGCTGAAGAGGTTCTTCCTAGACATAAATATTTTTCTGCAGAATACCTTCCTCAAATTGATGAAGAGCCAGTGACACAGGCCCTACTGTCTGAGTCACATCTTATTTCAGATTGGTTGATGAGCCAGAAAGACAAAATTGAAGAACCTGACTTTGGAGCTAGGTTTGAATCTCTCTTTGTAGTTCTGTTATTTATATCGAAGCAGCTTGAACTAAATGTCTGACAAATCCTTCCAGTTTTGCACTATCTTTTTATTTAGTGCATTGAGAACTTTTTATCTGCCTTTTTTTTTTTTTTTTTTAAATTATTTTATTTGGCAATTGCACTTACAACATATGTGTATTAGAAATGTAAACCATCTCCTCATATCATGTGTTAAGAAATAATGATTTGGACTATTGAATTGTAAAACATTTGGAGAGAGGGAGAGAGAAGAAGAAGATGTGAAACTAGATAGATTGAATGATACCTTGATTACAAGAGCCTATTATTTATAGGATGTGAGTATAAATGACCCTTCTTTCTATAACATGTGATAAATGTATGACTCCTTATGTGCGCATCATATGTTAAATAAAGAAATCTGACAACTCTTCATTTTCTAACATCATTTTTGTCGTTTCTCATGGTTTTTCTGCCCTAAGTACTCCAACTGAAATAGTTAATCCTTTTACCAAAACTTGAGTATTTTTATTATATTACGTTATCTCCTCCCTTCTACATATGAAGTAATCATTACAAGCTTTTTGATTTACTCACTGTCTATGTAATAATGAGCTAATAATCTGTATGGACATGGATTCTTACTGATATCTCATTTTCTTCTGTTACTCTTTTGCAGTGTGGATCAGTTTTTTGAATGTTTTGATGGCTTGAGAAATTCACAGTCAGCTTTGGGAAGCAGTGGGATGTGGAATTGGACATGTTCTGTTTTCAGTGCAATAACTGCTGCATCCACTCTTGCTTCTGGATCATTACATATTCCTTCAGGTATGTCTTGATTGTCTTCACAACTATATATTATAGTTGGTGTATTACTTGGTAGAAATTGCCATTTCATTTATTACTAGTTGATGTGTTAAGGCAGTAAAGCTCATGCAAGATGAAATATCCTTGCTTTGTTGCTTTTGCTAAAATTTTCCAATTATGGAGTTTTTATATACTAGAAAACAATTGATGTGACTTCCCCTTTCAAGTTTTCTGCATCATTACATGTTCAATCAAGAAGTTAGTTCTACAAGATAGGTGAATAGTCATAAAGGAAGCTAATCTTTCATCTATTTCAAATGCTCAAGATACATGCAAAGATATTTAGTATTCAATTTGAAGTGGTCGCTCCTGTAAAATGGTTGTAACATGTCTCCTCAGCATCATGCTCTTTATCTTCAGTATGAAAAAGTGAACGATAGATGATGTTGGACAAGTATTGGAGCTGGATGTCATGAAATTTTTGGAATTTTTGCATTTGATCTGGAGATGTCAGTGTTGAGAATTTGCCTGCTATATGAAGATCTGAAGGATCTGAATTCCCCATATCTTATCTATTAAATTGCATTGATATGCCTAGCTCATGCTTGAATCACTTTGCGTATTTTATACAAATTCAAAGATGTTCTCATGTTTCCTGATTTTATCTGTCCCTTTTCTAGCAAGGGATTGAAGAATTTATATTTCTTTGTTAAATAGGGATAACTGTATTGGTTGTGTAGTTAAGGTCCTTTTGTTGTAGAAAAACTCCTTTAAAGAAACCATTCATGTGCATTCTTTGGCTCAGATCAGCTGCATGTTGAAACCAACCTCAGGGCAACTATTTCCAAAATATCTATAATATTTTTCTTCACTGATGAGGATGGCAAACATTGCTCCAGTGCGGAGGCAGCCCAGATAACTACTGGTTCTTCTGTTCATTATATGAGTGCACATTTCAATGACATGTCCCTTGTATTGCAGGTAACTGTAGCTGTCTTTTTCTGGACTTGCTCTGTATTCTCTATATTACTAAATATTCAAGATGAATTTAACAGGTACGCCGTCACGAAATGAATTTTGAAGCTAAGGTGCAGCATGTTGGACTGGTCGACTGCTTCTCTAGTGGGGATGTGATGTTGAATGATGGTAAGGACATAGAGGAAATTCAAGGTGCAGTTCAAAATGCTATCCCACACATTCCTAGGTCCAGCGAAAAAGGCGAACTAAACAATCTAACTGGAGCTACTAGAGATTTTTCTATGCTATCTGATTATAGGTGCACACACCCACAAACATTTAGAGGTCCAGATGATGTGGTTCAGGTAAAATTACTTGAAACCGTTGGTGATATTCAGTGTCAAATCAGAATTGATTCCTCTGGTGACTCGTTCATTGGACCAATGTCTTTCTCATTGAAGCTACCATACTTCATTTTTTGGGTGAATATTGATTTGGTTTGTGAAATATCTGAACTTCTGAAGCAAATTGGGGGTTCTTTTGAAAGGACTAGCATAGTGGCTCCTTGCGAGGACTATCAGTTTTCTTCTAAAAAGGAAGAAATGAAGAGCTCTTTCACACAAGAAAATTTAATGGGCAATGTATTCATTCCAAATGCTAGAATAATATTGTGTTTCCCATTTGGAAAAGGTGGAGGTTTAAGGAGTTACTCTTCTTGGGAACACTTGATTGCTCTTGACCTTTCTTCATCAATACCAACAGGGAATAAAAGAGATGCCATGAACCAAACATCAATTGCTTGTTCCAAGAACATGTACTCTTTACAAACATCACAGTCTTTGCATTTGAGTTTTGGGGGTCTTAATATCTACTTAATTACTTTAGCATCTGAAGAGAATGTAGATAGTAGCCCTGATGCTGAACACAAGCAGAGATATTTAGCTCAGAACATTATGTCCATATCTTGCGGAACACAACATTCTGTTGTTAGCTTGTTCTGGCAGGAGAGTCCTGTTGTTGCCACAGGTGATATGGTGAAGAAAGCCAAACTCCTTGCGTCTTCAGATATTAACAGGAAGAGAGATAGATTTAGGGGAAAAGACTATGAATTTGCATCTGTTAGTACAGTGAAGGATTCAGAAGATTTTGATGGTATTCAACGAAAGATGATAGAGAGCTCTGAATTTTTCATTCATGCACGGATATCTCCTTTGGTAGCTACTCTAAGCAAGTCTCAGTATGTCTGCATACATCATCTTCTGAGTCAGTTGATTGATCGTTTATCACAAATTTCCTCTGTTTCAGCTGATACTAAAGAAACATCTTCTGCATCACAAGCATCAGTTCTCATTGAATGTGAATCTTTAACTATTTCAATTGGTTTGGAAGTAGTGGAGAATGTTAAGGGATCATTCCAGTATGAGCTACCAGGTTGTTGGCATAGTTTGAGACTTGAGGTTAAGAAATTCGGATTTTATTCTGCTTCTAACATTGGAAGAATTAGCAATACTAGTTTTCTCCGCGTCCTCCACAGTGATGGAAAGTTGTGGGGGCATATTTCTGGAGTTGCAAGGGAAGAGGTTCTTCTGATATCATGCAATGATGCTTCCATGGGACGTGGTGATGGAGAAGGTTCAAATGTAATATTTTCCAAAAGATCAGGTTCTGATATAATACACCTTTTGGATCCTCAAAGTTTGAGCAATTACACATCCATTACTGTCAGGTGTGGCACTATTGTGGCAGTTGGTGGACGGTTGGATTGGTTGGATAGGATTACATCCTTCTTCAGTTTGCCCTCTCCTGAAACTGAACAATGTGATGACAGTTCACAGAAAAAATGTTGCAAGGAAAGTCTGCCTTTTGAATGTTCTTTTGTTCTTAACTTGGTAGACATTGGTTTGAGCTATGAGCCGTATTTGATGTTTAGCAAAGGCTCTGATTTCAAGCTAGATTCTGGCAATGGAAATGAAGTGGTAGACAAGCAGCATGTTGCTTGCCTCTTGGCAGCATCTTCCTTGAGGATATCCAACACCAGTTTTGCTGATTCTGCTGTCAGGGATTACAAAATTAGTGTGCGGGATCTGGGCTTGCTTCTTTCTGTGGTTGGTGAACCGGGGAGTGTTGCCCATATTTATGGTGTTGAGCATCTTCGCAAGATCGGCTATGTCAAAGTTGCTCAAGAGGCCAACCTTGAAGCACTTTTGAGAATTTACTGTGAGAATGGTAATTTGTGGGAAGTTGAATGCTCAGGATCCCAGATTTTTATGAATACTTGTCATGACACTACTTATGGTTTGATTTGTTTGGCCACCCAACTTCAACAGCTTTTTGCACCTGATATGGAAGAATCAGTAGTGCACTTGCAAACGAGGTGGGATAATGTTCAACAGGCAAGTGGGAGTAAAGAATTATGGACCTTTGAGGGCGACTCTCCCATATCAACTTCTACTGTCCTGACATCAATAGCGGATGTGGAGTGTAAAGCCAGTATAATAAATATTATGGATGAAATATGCGAAGATGCATTTCAGGTAGAGAGAATTAGTGATGCTCAAGCTGATACTTGTGAATCACCTATTCATGTGTCATTAAATGATAGTTGTATTGGTGAGGCATGTTATTATAGTAATATTGCAGCTCAACATTTCTGTAAGAGCTTGCCTCTTTCTGAGTCATCTCCAGCAGCTGGACTAGAAAATGGTGAGAGTTCATTTTCAGAAGAAAAATTGCCTGAATTCATTGAAGATTATGTATTGTCTGATTTATGCCCTCTCTCAGAGCTGTCATTAAAAAGCAACTCACCAAATGATATTCTTAAATGCAAAACTAGTTCTCTGAAGAATGGAGATGACCAACAAGAAAGTAGTGGGTGGTATGATGACAGCTCATTAAGAATTATAGAGGATCATGTTTCAAAAGCCAGTGGACACGATGATTCCCTGCAATATGTGAAGTGTGAGGCTTCCAGCAGTCAAACTGGAACTGATGAAAATGGAAAAGTCAAGGGTCGCATAGTTTTTAATGATGTGAATGTCTCCTGGAGATTATATGCTGGCTCTGACTGGCAAAATATTGAGAAAAGTGTCCAGCGTTCTGCTGGTACATATGTACGTGATATAACTTCTTACTTAGAGCTCATATTGTCTGGAGTGGGCTTTAAGTATGACATATTTCCTGATGGTGGAATACATGCATCTAGACTGTCCATTGCGGTTCAGGATTTCTTTCTTAATGACCGCCGCAATGATGCCCCATGGAAACTGGTAAGGTTGAAAGGTTTTAAACTTTATTTGATTTATTATTTATTTATTAGAACTCCTGTAGCCTAGATTGGACTGGATCTGAACCCTTCTGTTTGATTTTCAAGGTGCTTGGGTATTATCAGGCAAAAGATTGTCCAAGAAAGTCCTCCTCCAAAGCAATTAAGCTGGATCTAGAAGCTGTCAGACCTGATCCTGCCATCCCTCTGGAGGAGTACCGGTTAGAAAGTTACCCCTTTCCTCCATTTTTACCAATGAAAAATTCCTTGTCAAATATGTTCAATCAGTAAAATGATAGTATGTGTTGTTTATCTTCAGATTGCGCATTTCTTTCCTCCCAATACTGTTGCATCTTCACCAAAGCCAGCTTGATTTTCTCATCATCTTTTTTGGGGGAACAAACTCAGCATCTAATTCATCCCAGGGTGCTTCACAAAATCTACATGAATCAAGAACAATTTCACAGCAGAAAACTGTGATTGGTGGTCATGTAATCCCCATGGAAGCATTACTTCCATACTTTCAGGTGAGTGGTTTGGAATTCTGTTTTGCCAAATCTGGTAGCTCCCTGCATTTGTGCAAGAAAATATTACTATTCAAAATTTCCTTGCATTGGATTTATCATGTTAGCTTTTAAGCTTATCCTTGTTATGGGGGTTGCTTGAATTTTGGGTGCAGAAATTTGACATATGGCCTACGCTTGTTCGCGTTGACTATAGTCCTTGTCGTGTTGACTTAGCTGCATTAAGAGGTGGAAAGTATGTGGAACTTATTAACCTTGTGCCTTGGAAGGTATTCTTCTTATTCTCCCTCTTTTCTTTTCTTTTCTTTTTTTCACTTTTGAATTACCTTCCATTGGTTGGTTGTATTGAATATTCCCCACAATAAATATGTATTTAGTCATTACCAGAGAAAAAGGGGGAAGGAATAGTGAATTAAGAATTCTAACATCAATGCTACAAGCTAGTGGTTGCAGGGTCATTGTTATATTATGTTAATAAACTTGCTCTGACATTAGAGAAACAGAAAATATGAGTTTTCTCCTTTGCTTGACAATTGCACTTCAGGTGCAAGATGATGAGATTTCTTATGCATGTAGAAATTGGTATTCAATTCTTCTCTCTTATTTCTAATGTCAGGGTGTTAAGATGAACCTCAAACATGTCCATGCTGTTGGTGTCTATGGCTGGGGTTCTGTGTGTGAAACAATAATAGGGGAGTGGTTGGAAGATATTTCCCAGAATCAGGTTAGTGTTTTACCTCCAGATTGCATCATTTGGATTCCATTTCTATTCTGGCTACATTGAGGATGCAATTTGACAAGAGTTGTGTTCTGTAGATTCATAAACTATTGAAAGGGCTTCCTCCTATTCGATCATTGGTTGCTGTTGGTTCTGGTGCTACCAAATTGGTATCTCTTCCAGTTAAGAGCTACAAAAAGGATCACAAATTGCTTAAAGGAATGCAAAGAGGTATATTGTTATTAACTACTAATGATTTCTGGAAACTCTACTTCACAAAAGAAATACAATCTTCTGTTTATAAATATTTTCAATTTCTTTCTGCCAAATATGGAGCTCTTTTTTACAAAAGGTGTCATTTTGATGCTGCTGAACTGTATTCTTAAAATTGCCTGTCACTTAACTCTGGAAAGATTTCTCATGCATATTTTTTCTTGCAGCAATATATTGTAATACCTTAATACCTAAAGACGTCATGTCGTATTTTCTGCAGGCACATTTGCATTCCTTAGAAGTATATCACTTGAAGCAATTGGGTTGGGAGTACATTTGGCAGCTGGTGCTCATGAAATTTTACTGCAAGCAGAATATATACTGACAAGCATTCCACCATCAATGCCATTGCCTGCACAGAATAGGGGGAACAGTGTGAGATCTAATCAACCTGTAGATGCTCGGCAAGGAATCCAGCAGGTGGGCATTCCAATATCTGAAATGTGATTTCTATACCATCATTGCATGTTAAGTGAGGATTGTGATTCTTTAGATCCAATAGTTGTAAGCTAATTAGAAGTAGTTCCAATCTTAAACCAGCATTAGTTAAAAAGTTGTTTGTCTTTGAATGAATATTGTTCTTGATTGGTGTGTGAAACTGTTAAATGGCTGCTTCTTCCCCTCATTTCCTTCTTTTGTAATCTCCTCTTTTTTAAGTCTTAAACTTTTTTCAAGTGATTGCTCTGCAGTTTCTTTACTATATGCATTTGGTTAATCATATCTAATTTATGATTATTGTTCCATCCTTCTCAAAAGAGGAAATAACTGAATGAGGGTTAGCCAAAGATTGGTGGTGGTATGAAACCAGATATTGTTCGGAATGATACCTGTACAGCCCTACCGGGGAATTCAATTTAGATTTTTTAAATTTTATTTTGAAAAGACACTCTCCATTGACTGTGAATCTGTAATTTGGCAGGCATGTGATAGTATAAGTGTTGGCTTCAGTAAATCTGCTTCTGCCTTGGTACGGACTCCCTTGAAACGATACCAACGTGGTGCTGGGGTGGGAAGTGCTTTAATGACTGCTGTTAAGGCTGCTCCTGCAGCAGCAATAGCTCCAGCTTCAGCCACTGCACGTGCTTTTCACTGTGCTCTTATCGGGGTTAGGAACAGGTGAACCCTTGCTCTCTTGGTCTCTCCTGCTTCAGTCTATACCCTCTGAAATGAGTACTGTACACACGCATGTGACCTTGGCTCTATCTGCATTACTTCATGACATATGGATTATAGTATAATTGTAAACAACATTTTTATGCAGCCTTGATCCTGACCGCAAGAAAGAGTCTTTGGATAAATACATGGGAACATCTCCGCCTCAACAGTTCATGTAGTTGGTATGTAGCACAGAAGTAGATTGATTTGTTTTTTTTTTTATGCACGATAACATCTCTACTTAACACGCTTATTATGTAGTGTTCTAAAATATCTACTGAATCATGCTAGAGTGCCTTCAAATATATGAATCCCTGAAAGCAAATGGAGGACAGAGTGATTGATTGATAATGGAGGCTTGCTGCCTTGGGTGGATTTTTGTACAGAGATTGATTGTGTCGTGCTTAGTTCCTATTTACAACCTTGTGTTTCTTTTTGGCATAGGTGAGTTATACTTGTGATAAATCTCTGCTAATGCTTATTAAGTGGCTTTAATGTAAATCAAAAACTGATTTTGTCCTTCTCATTGGTTGCCAGGTGTTGTAAACATTGTAGAGTTTATCGAACCAATTCTTTTCCTGTAAAAAGAAATGTTAATGTGTAAATATGGAGTGTACATAGAAAGTAATGGGGTTTTAGTATGTTTATTTCTTTCTGCTCATCAAGTGGAGCACTGTACATAATGGGTCATTTGATCAGTGATAGTCTCTTTTGCTGTTTTAGTTTCCCATATGGTGCCACGTACACCCTCCCCCTCTGGGTTGTTTCGGGGGGATGGGGGATTATATTTAACCAAATGTTCATTACAACTAAGATGAAGATTTCATTATAAAATTCATTTGGCTTGAACTGAGTGTTTATTTCCATTAACGTAGATATACATCATGTTTCTGACTGTCTCTTGTACTGGTGTATGTCTCATTTGGAATTTCCTCTTTAATTAATTTGTATGTATATCAATGGATCAGGTCATCGTCTATTGTTTCGTGATTGATTATTCTTAATTGGATCATTAGACATAACTCAAATAGTATACCCCTAACGTATCATAACAAAAAATAAATATAAAAATAAAGGAATCGTGATTGATTATTCTTAATTGGACCATGAGACATAACTCAAATAGTATACCCTTAACTTGCCTGTACACTGCCGCTGAAGCAAGGTCGCGAGGCATTTTTCATTCTCATTCCTTCCTCTAAATATAGTGAACCAAACACCCTAGAGAGTCAACAATTCTTAGCCACTTAATTCTTTCCTTCTTTAATCCTTAGCTTGTTATTTCTTAGGAGAATAATAATTTTAGTGTTGTTCACTGTTCGTTTATTTTAATTGGATCTTTATATCTTAGCTTGAAAGTTGTGCATAGTAGAAATATAATTTCCAAGAAATGAATGAAAGAAATGGCAGCAGTAAAGTAAATGATGATGGATAAAATACAGTGCACAATCCTACATTAATTATTACTCCGTACAAATTAAAGATAGTTGAAAGTGCAAATTAAAGATTTGTACAAACTATATATGAAGAAGAAAATGACAATGCATGTATGTATGTGTACATGCATAATAATCCAGTAGTTGTTCTTGGTCTTGACACATGAAGTACAAAATCAGACGGAGTGGAGATGGAAGAATATCTATCAAAGTCAAGGAAATGGAAGAAAAGATAGATAGATAGATCGAAAATATAATGCATTAATATCCAGGTTAGATAGATCCAGTGAGTCAGATGAGATAGATTAACAACACCCCAAAATTCTTAAACAACGAACTTAGCTTGAATTGCTTGCTGCTCAGATCGTTCAGCTCTAATATTAATCAATCAAGAAAACACACGTACTCCTCCTCTACTTAATTACTAGCTTTTCTGGTGTGAAGTTGCGGCATTGCAACAGGCTTGTTCATTGATGAACAAATCATCAGCGACCTTGGTTTCATCGATTCGTTGGAGGTTCTTATTATTATTGTTGGGTTTCCTAGGAAAAATAATGTGGGATCTCTTCAACCCCAAACGCTCCCTCCACCGGCTCATCCCCGACCCCGACCCCGACCCCTTGCTGGGCATTGTTATTCTGGGAAACAGATCTCCATAGTCGTCGTCATTACCTTGCAGGAGCTCATCTCGAAGCGTGGTTGTCTTGCTGTCCTTGAATGGCAGCAGTTTTCCCTTGCAGAAAACCTGGTCTGCAGAAATCATAGTGTAGCCGGAGACGGAGAACTCGAAGTTGTCGGAGGAGACGGGCGCCTCCTTGTAGCTCATCGTCATGGGGTGTTGATGAGAAGAATCTGCGAAATCATTGGAGAAGGAGATCCTTGCTGCACACACCCCTGAAGCTTGCTGCTCATTGCTCAACATGTTTAAACATGCCATGATTATTGATCCGATCGATGGATAGATGCCCACCCTCAGCTCTCCTGCCTTTTTCTCTTCTCTCCGCTAGCTGGAATCTTCATGTTTATATACTGCTGAGTTGTTGTGTGTGTATATTACTGTCTGTAATTTAGATTTACTTGGGAGAAGTCTCCAAGGCAATGACCACATCAACAATAAAAATATTAGATTAGCCCTTGTAAAACCATTTCTAGTCCAACACTTTAACCATACTTTTCAATCATTAGCTACCCATGTTTTTTTTTAGGAAAAATATCAAATTTTTTTATTTTTCCATGCTTAATTTTTATTAGAGTGGTTAAAACGGGTCCAATTCATCAAATTGGGTTCATTATTTAACCAGTTTTTACTTCGAATTGGATTCTAATATAAAAATCTCATATTGGGCCAAGTAGTAAATCCGACTAGTGAGTTTATTAAAATTTTAAAAATTCCTAATAAACTTAACAAAACAATATATAGCTCGCATTCACAATCTCTCGCTCCCTCAAATCGTAGTCTGTCATCCCTTAGTTGATCCTCAATTCCTCACAGTCACACAACACGTAGAGGTGTAAACTGTCATCCCTCCCTCACCTAAGTCACCTCACCTCAAAAAAAAAATTAATAATGTGCGGGCTAAACCTATGTAGCCTACTAGTTGTTGACAACGTAACTCTACCCTTTATATAATTTATTATAATCCTCATTTTAAAATTTAAAAACTGCAGTCTCTCAATTGTTCCTCAGTTAACTAATCCTAGTAGTTGTGTAAATTCTAAAAGACCCGCGCATCCCAAAAGCAAACAAAATATTAACAATATAATTAGTTAATTGAGAGACTAGATTGACAATGTTAAAAATAATTGATGAACAGAATTTTTAAAAAATGAAAATGAATGACTAAAATACATAACAAGTAACAATTGAGAGAACAAAATATCAACACTACCACAACTTATTGTATTTTTTTGTCTATTCTTCTCCATTGAAGGCTCAACTAAAGAATGAAAAATTGAAATAATTAAAAAAAAACAGATAATAAATGATATATATATATATATATATATATATATATATATATATATAGGGTTGCATTCAAATACAAACCCCTTTAAAATACAAACTTGAGCTCGTGCACACATTAACATACTTACGTGCACACAGGGCGCACTGCCAACAATTTCTGGAATTAGCTCGTGCACACATTAACATACTTACGTGCACACAAGGCGCACTGCCAACAATTTCTGGGATTAGCTCGTGCACACATTAACATACTTACATGCACAAAGCGCGTAGGAAGAAAAATCACAATCATCCATCAAAGCTCGTGCACACATTAATATACTTACATGCACACAAAGTGTATGAGGAAAAAAATCACAACCATCCATCAAAGCTCGTGTACACATTAACATACTTACATGCACACTGCTAACAATATCTGCGATTAGCTTGTGCACACATTAACATACTCACATGCACACAATTTGTATTTTAAGGGAGGTTTGTATTTTATGGGAGGTTCGTATTTGAAAATAATCCTATATATATATATATATATATATATATATATATATATATATATATATATATATATATATATATATTCAAATGCGGCCCAGCTCTCTCATGCTCTATTAACCACTGAATTCGCTTAGATCAATAGTAAAAAATAGGGTGGTATTTTGATAATTTTTTGTATCATGTATATTTCAGTGGTGCACTTGTGAGTGCTATGTGGTGCACCACAAAATGCTTTCACCTATAGTTTAACGTGAACTAGGAAGCTAGATGCCATATATGATATAAAATTGTGAAAGAAGATAGACAATGGTAGTCAGATCTGTTCTACACATTGCACATAAAAATATTAGAAATATTGTCGTCTTCGTTCTCTTTTTGCTTGAAAAGACGTTTTGAAATCTGGTCTTTCTCAATCTAACATTGCAGACATGTGAATCCTAGCAAGCTTTAAATTAAAATAAACAATAAGCTAAGCATGCATTATATTCTTCAATTCTCTGATCTGCTGTAAGATACTCTCATCAAATCACTCCATTAACCAATCAGGCTGCTGGAGCAATTCAATGTCTATCATCTAAAAAACATTGAAAATGGATAAAGCAACAAACTAAGTTCCTCAAAACGAGTGTATATCAGCCTTCTTTGTTGACTATTTACCTCACCGGATAAGAACTGATGATGATCTGATGACAATAAAATATATATATGTTGTGTGAACACAGCTTTTCCTAGGTAATAAGTAACTTTTTATGCCTAACCATGCATGCCACTTAATGATCATCATGGTAATAACATCCTTGTCAGCAACAAACAAAAGTTTAATCCAAGGTTGTGCATCCTTCCAAACACCACAATTATGAAGCAACACATGATTCATGTATTTTTACTATGTTTTCTTTTAACACATAATATATCATGAATGGTATATTGAGAAATATTATGTTATGCATGAGAGCTTTCAAAGAGATGGGTAGGATGGAGGAGTAAATTAAAGAAAGTTTTTTTTTTTTTTTTTAATATATAGATTGATGATCTCCATTGAGATTTTGAATTTGTCTATAGGAGTGAAACAAATTCAAAGAAGCAACTTGCAAATAAAACAATCAGTCAGTATTCGACTAGTGTAGACTTTTGTCCAACCGTTGTATATAACTCGTCTTTGAAATCTGATGTTTAAGTTGTACTATACTGCTTAATGCAAATTGTTATGCTACTCAGCTCTTGTTGCATGATGTCGTAAGTTAATAGTGATGATCTCCAAAGTCTTACTATGTTGAGTAACATTTACTACTCAATTACTACTATGACGAATGTTCTTTACGTTGCTAAAATATTTAATTTTTTAAATAAAAATTTATGTTTGCTACAGAATGTGATGATGAGATCAATTCGGTCGCTAATATGTTGACACATTGGTGATAGAAAATGCGACGCCCTACATGTCTGTCGTGATATGGCGATGGAATTGGCAACATAAATTTATTCTGTTGCGATTTTTTTGACATTAAGAGAGATTTGATGTTTGAGGTTGGCGACGAAATTTGGACGATTGTTTATTCCATCGCCACAATATTTAATTTTTTTAAGTAAAATCTATTTTAACTACAGAATTGGATGACGGAATTTTTAATTTTTGCGACGAAATTGTTCCGTCGTCGTGAATCGAGATTTTTCTTGTAGTGTCAATCAATAGACACGAAGAGTTACAACATTTTTCACAAGTCACGTCATCTAGATGTGTGACACGGAGCAATTTCATTACAAGATCAACATCAAGTAGTCAATGAGTTTTAACATTAGACTATTGATGGATACCCTTAGTAGGGTACCCACTCAGGTGTGCCCCTAGGCGGTCAGGAGAAGGCGGTTTGATTAATTGAAGGGTAGGGAGGCCCTCGGTAGCCTAGCTCCGGTCCACCACATGTTTAATTAGCTTGCCGATCGGCCCGCTTGAGCGACCAAACTAGGCTGTCGGAGGAGTCTCGACCGGGTGCCGCGCTTAGAGGCCGTTAATGAAGATTTGGTGAAGATTCTTTCCAGTTTGGCGCCTGAGTTTCCTTTTTCAACATTAGGAAACTTGTCTAGCGGTTGAAAAACTTCCTTAAGTTCAAACTTGTTAATTTGAATAATTTCTTCCCCTTTCCTTTTTCAAAGACCAAATATCGTATATAAATACCTCTGATTTTCTGAGATCACATTGTAAAGGGTTCTGAATTCAATACAAGCATTGAAGCTATCAAAATTCTCTATCAATTTTTACTTCTCCGAATTTCAGTTGCCTACTCAAATTAAATAGTGGAAGGATGCGTTTCAGTTTCATCTAAACTGTACTAAAAATTTGTTTTTCTGTAATTTTATATTATTATAGGTTGCAGGCAATAATGGGGATGTTTTGTTCATTTAAATATTGAACCCATGGAGCGGTGATGAGGAATATACTTGGGATATATATTTGGACCTTTGAGCACCGCAAGGAGTTAATTGCTGTTTCCTTTGGCTATTACAGGCAGGCAGGCAGCATAAGTCCACCCCTAGATCTAACAGCGCGCTCCTGCTTTTACTGCATTATAATTAATTGTAAGCTGGAGCCCCCGCGCGCACATATATATATATATATATATATTGAAAGGTTCCCGTACATTTATTGCTTTCGGCGCGGATGTGCGGTGGATTAATGTGCGTGAGATTTGTACTCAATGTGCGTAAGTGTTGTGTTTAATGTGCCTGAGATTTGTATTTAATGTGCATGAATGTGTAAAATGCAGCAGAAAATATTGATGTCAGCTTCTTCCCCAATAATGATAATGCGGAGGCGAGCTATGGTGGTTAAAAATTATGGGAATAATACAACAGAAATCCATACTTAGCTGCTATGCAAATTTTACTGTGCGTGCGCCATTTATATAAACATTAACTGCACTAGCTGATAATCCAGAATCCATGGCCAAATTGAAGGAAGAAGTAACAAGAAGCTTGGGCGTTAACTTCTTTCTGAGCTCGTAATTCTGAAATAGGCACGCATATTAAGCACAAATCTCACGCACATTAAACACAATACACAGACACATTAACTACAAAACTCAAGCATATTAACATGACGCACGCACACTGAGTACAAATCTCACGCACATTAAGTATAAACCTCACGCACATTAATCCACCGCACATCCACACGGGAAGCAACAAATGCACCCGATCCCTTCCCTATATATATATATATATATATATATATATATATATATATATATATATATATATATATATAACCTATCCATCCACCTATATTTACTTAATTAGTGCTGGGAGGAGTGAAGAAGCTGAATCTGAGTGAAAAGCAGTCAAACAAGCACTTGCACAGAACATGGGAACCACATTTTAATTAGTATAATATATGAATGATTATGGGAATCTAATCAAGATTTAAGTACTATAAAACATGTTTTCCCCTTAAGCATGGCACATGCATGCTCTAGAACTGCACAAGCAAGCTAAGTAGTCCCATATCTGTTCCTAAAAAGAAGAAGAAAAAGGAACCATACAAATTAAAGCTTCACTTCTAGTTTTACAATGTACAGTGCCATTTCCAAGCAAATGCAGATCATATCGACAACCAAAATGACAGTATTAATAAATATGAAAATTATTTTCCAAAAAAAAATAAAAAAAATATGAAAATTAAGATTCCAATTCCATGGATATGGATGGCTGACATGAAAAAAAAAAAAAAAAAAAAAATTCTCAGAGTACATGGGGACGGGTTATATCCTTAAATGGAATTTGAATCTCTGGTGGCCAAATGGGTATTCAACAGGTGGCTGATTCCTTAGACTAAAACTGTGAAAGTCATTTGGTGAGTAGTGAGAAGTGAGAAGACCATAGACGACAAATCTCCTAGAGGAGAAGAGGACAAATTATTGGGGCAAGAGAAGAGGACAAATTACTACACATAGGATTGGTCTAAAAGAAGCAGCAGCTACTATGTCTTCATGGTCTCCCATATGGTGAACAAATGTTGTCGTTTTCATTCCTAATTTAAGGTGTTGTGTACTGTGTTTTCTTATACATTATTTAATGCCCTCTGTTTGCACATTTTGCAATGTCAGATCAAGAGAAAACCCTTTCTTGCCCAAATAATGAATCCACAACCCTAAAAGCTCCACAGAGCATTAGAGATAATGTAAATCACAACGATAATTTAGTGACAAATCACAAGGCTTAGTTCAGTGCACACAAGCTATCTGCTCACTGTATTGTATGTATAATCCTTACATTTTTAAACATTGATATCTTACTGTGAGCTAAATTTAGGCGATAGAGAATTGAAAATTGTTTCTAGCTATACGGTTTAATTTCTTTAAAGTAGGGTGCTTTGCATGTTGCCCCTATTCAATCAAGCCTGTAATTAAGCATTTATTTACTTTGATTAATTATTAATTGAGTCTCTTCCCCAACATACCTCATTGGGAAGGAAATAGAAATGGTTTATGGATTGGCTTATTGGACATACAACCCATTTTATAATAAAATCTACCCTTAATTACATGCAGTGTGAACATGGGTTCCAAGTTCAACCATCCATCTTATTATTAGCATATTCCCTCAAATGAGTAGTTTCCCTGAGAGCAGCTTAGATTCCGTTTGATCATCTTTGTCTTTTGGTCTTCCACTCATTTTCATTTTTACAGGAATATATATATTGGATATTTTTTAATTTAAAATGACATAGTAAATATTGTTATCAACTAAAGAAAAGAAAAAATTTCAGCGGAAGTCCTTGTTTTTTTTGGAATGTGGACAACTCAGACAAGGGATGCCATAGTTGATACTGCTTCAATAATTTCACTCAACCCCTATAACTCTAATTAAAGTCATATAGCATACATCAATAAAAATGCACATTTGGGTAATGACTGCAAATTTTCCCCTAAATCAAATATGCACCTTCCTCTGAGTGCAAAGGCCCCAGGTCAATGGATGCAAACAACATATTCTAGTGAGTATAATAATATATATGTGCAAACCTTTCTCTGCCAATCAACATTACTTGGATTATCCAGAATTGCATGAAAAATGATTTCTTGTGTTCCTTTAATCAAATACCTTAAACATTATTAACACCTCATGTCTAAAATCAAACAAATTGTGAGATTTATATATATGTTCACCTAATCACTTTTTTTTTTTTTTTCATGTAATTTAGAAGAATAAGTAAACAGGTAAAGTCTATACAAAATCATCGTCGCCCATAGCATCTGGAGAAGTTCTTTTTTGAGGTAACTGATTCCGGGAAGAGATTACTCTGTTGGATTTCATTTTTGTATGGTCCAAAGGTCTTGTTAGCTTGATAGAGTTGGTCCGTTGCTTTTGCACGGGCTTAAAAAAAGCTGGCAATGTGCTCATCTTAGAGGAAACCCCACTGAAAGGAGATTGTGGTGGTGCTTCTTGAGGTTCCTTCATGCTGGATACTGCTAGGCGTGGAGATAAAGCCGCTGGTCTCTGGAGTAGGTTGCTTTTCAAAGTGGAAATGTTCGTTTGCCCGCCTTGGGGTTTTGGTTTTTGCTTCACCGATGATTCAACAGGCACCAGCTTCCCCTCAACTTGGCATGTGAAAACAAAAGAAACCTGCATGCTACAAAAAGAATGATGAGAGGCTGTACAGTTTAACAAGTTTAAGGAAATTCCAACGTTTAACTGACCTCATCACCAGCTGCAGCCGGAAAAATAGTATCGGGAACTGACGTTGGGAAAAAATGATGCCCCCAGTTAGCTAAATCCTCTTCCTTTGGAGTTCCAATCTGTGGAAATTATTTCAAAGCTTCAAAGTTTTGCCTTTGGTTTATGAGTGACAAAATTAAAATGTGAGGGGGTTTGGCTTAAGAAAACTTGCAGACCTGCTTCTCTGAGCTTTTTAACTTGTTCGAGCAACCAGCAACACCTGCAAATCCCCCGATATCCTCTTGGTTGGATTTATCTTGTTCATCTGTAGACTTTGCTTCACAAGTGTCATCTAGCATCACCTCATATTCTTGGCAACGGTTGCAGCTAATCTTTTCATGAATTTCAGACCTGCATAGTAATTTATAATACCAACAGAAATTTAGGTTTCATAACAAGCAAGTCCTGGGCAGCTCACTCATATTCAACACTTGCAAAAGAAGTTTAAAATTTTGTGGCACTAACTAATAATGATGTGATAGAGTTGTTAATGTTCTGTGCTATCATCCAAAACCAACAAATCAAGCATAGGAACAAACCTCACGCTATCATGAAAAGTGAACAGGTCCCTTAGATCTTCAGTTGAAAGGAGATTTCCCTGAAAACATGTGATGGTATTATGAATTAATGACTACTACAAATAGCATGGCAAGGAAATAGAAGCAACAAAATTACCTGGTTCTCAGAATCTGCATGTTCCTGTTGAATAACTTGCTGAAGTCCCTCTTTTGACATTTGACGCTGGTAAATCTGCAGCAGAAGCAAGTACTACTTCACAAAAATATATCCTAACTAATTCACAATAGTATCAGGCTGTAATATCAGTGAACCAACCTTCTCTTCAATAGTTCCTGTACTCAAAAACCGATAGACATAAACCCTCTTCTTCTGGCCATCCCTCCATACTCTAGCCGCAGCCTGAAAATTAAAATTTTAATGCCAGTATTGTTTGCCATCATACAGTAATTTCCAAGCCAAAAAACTATACCTGTTTGTCATTTGCAGGATTCCAGTCCGGATCAAATAACACCAGCCTATTTCCACCAATCAAATTGAGGCCACAACCTCCTGCCTTGCTACTCAGGAGAAAGGCAAACTCATCCTGATATATTAAATTGAATTCTCTTACTACAAAGCATTCAAAACATGAGCAAATTGTTTGGCAAGATAGGTCAATGTTTCTCAAGTGCATAGTACGGACCAGATTTTTAAGGGCATAATTCACAAACCTTTGATGGATCATTAAAACAATTAACCAACTTTTGTCTTTTGCTAATTGAGGTAGATCCATCAAGTCTCAAGAAGGGATATCTCCTTTCACGACAGAGTTGAGCAAAAAGGTCCAGCGTCTGCTTATCCAAAGATAAAATATTTGAAACAAGAGAGAGAGAGAGAGAGATAAACGCAAAAACTGACAAGATAACTAAAAAACTACTCTTGATATTCAAACTAAAAACCAAGTGTCATAACATAATTAGATTCTAAAGTTCATGAGCACAAATTATATTTACACTACAGAAGGCATAATACTCAAAAAACTGACACCTGAGGTCCTGAAATACTGAGTGGGGGAAAAAAAACAAAAAACCTACAAGTTCCAGCAACAGTTAGCCAATGAGGAAAAACAAGAAAAATTATCCATAGTTACTATTCCACACCTGAGTGTAGTTTGAGACTAGAACAATTCTATCATCAGTTGATTGACGGAGTTGAGCCAATAACCGAGCTAATACATGCATTTTTCCAGATAGTTCAACCCAAAGCCCAGCTCCACCAGTCCATGAACCAGACCTAAGAGCAATCAGGGAAGATACTTTCATTAATGTCAAATAAAATAGCCAATACTGTCAAAACTATTCTGAGAGGAAACAACGTAACCACTAACCAGTACAATTGTCAAACACATTTTCAAAACTTACCTTCCGGAAAACATTTCATGAGGGAATAAGTGGATACAATCTTCAAACCCTTTAGTCCCTGGACTCCCACTCTTTATTGTGTCATATATTAGCTTCAAAATATAACACACAAAAAATGATTCTTCATACTCATGAATGGCACAAATGAGATAATGAGAGCGAGAGACAATATTTCAATTGCCAAATAGGGAAAACATAGAGCCTAGTGTATGATGTAGTACCTTTGGATGATTGCATAGCTTCTTTAAGGCAGTAATGTAAGCTAAGATTTTCGATTGTTTTGTTTCCTCTGTAATTGCCCGTTTAACCTGTAATTAAAAATTGCAAGCAAATACATCTAAACATTATCACAAAGGTTAGAGACTGTACATCCCTCACATAAATAAACAAGAGTGTGAATTTACATTTTTTGAATGTATAAAATGGTTGTAAAGTTCCACTTGCAAAGGTGACAACTTGCAGCATACAACTTCAATTATCTGCAAGGACAAATAAAGATTAACGGTCACATGTTAAGCAGGAAAACTTGGAAGAGTTTTAGCCTAATAGAAAATTAATGAAGTGAGCTTTCACAACCATATTTACAAGATTATCAAAAGCACAGGCATTTATAAGAGAGATATCAAAGAAACGATTTAGAAACAACAAATTATCAAAAGCACTAAACTTACTTGTTTGAGAAATATTAGAGTAACAGAAGTAACATTTACACCAAATAACAATGGCAAAGAGTGTATTATGTTCAGCAACTAAGATTAAATTTAGGCGCTTGGAGCATAAAAGAACCTGCGGCATATCTTAAGAAGCAAATATTATTGTTTCATTATGTTACCTTTGGTGGTAAGTGATTTGACAACAATGCATTAGTCCTCCGCAATATAAACTGTTGCACAAATATATCAGTTATCAGTAGTATTATTAGAAAGAAATTACAAGAGCAGCACATGCTCCTTATATAAGCACTCAAGAGATGATCACTAAAGCAGCACACAGAAGTAACAGCACATTCCAGAAATGCACCAATATCAGAAGATACTTGCCTGGTTAACTTTTGCACTCAGCTCTGTAGAACGTTCAGTACCTAGTCTCTTCTCTTCTTCAGTAGCAGAGGGTTCTCTACCACAAACAATGGGCATCTAAAAGTTGTCTTTTGGTGGTCAGATATGCATTTTATATTAATGTTAAAAATGCGTACACTGCTTATCCCCACAAAATTGGGGAATGTCAAGGCAATAATACATAAAAAGCAACTTATAAAAACTTTTAATAAATACTGGATATTGAGCTAACCTCATAGTAACGGCGAAAGTATGCAGCATCTCCCAAGATTCCAGGGTTAGTAAAATTTACCATGGAATAAAATTCCTCTAGATCATTCTGGAAGATAAATGTGAACAAAATACTGCATCAAAGCAAAGCATGACAGAATTTGACAAGCAAAAGGAATTATAAATTTGATGCAATTCTCACTTGCATTGGAGTCCCTGACAGCAAAATGCGGCGCTTGCATGACAAAGAAGCCAAGGCCTAATGCAAAAATCAGTAGTCAGTGATCTCATATGGATTCTGCAAAAAGTTGATCAAAAACAATAAAAGATACAGCATTATGTAAAAACTTTATCTTACTCGATTAGTCAATGTCTGATCATTTTTCAACCTGTGAGCCTCATCACATATGAGGAGGTCACACGAAATATCATTACTAAACTTTGAAGAATGCATTCGAAATGTCTCATAGGAAACAATCAATACCTGGAAGATTACATAAATGATACATCAGTACTCCAGTTACCATAATGATCTCAAATTCACTATATATAGGAAATAATCACAATGTTTACTTGTAAATCACTATGTGGACTAGTAAAATTGTTAATGCCAGAGATGGCATCCTCTCGAGTGCTTTCACAGAGAGCAACAAGTTTAAGTCTTTCTCCAACCCATTTCTTTATTTCAGCCTCCCAGTTAGAGACAAGACTGGTAGGAGTCACAATTATTGATTTCCTAACCATTGCTTTTCCATCAAAACCTTGACGAAGAAGTGTGTAAAGCAGTGTGATTGACTGCAATGTCTTCCCCAGACTGGACAGAAAGAACATTAGCAAGTGAAACATGACATTTAAAATCATTCAACAGATGTGAAAACAGCATCACTGCAGAAGATATTCAGCGATATTTACCCCATATCATCAGCTAAAATGCATCCGTTAATATTGGAAGTGCTCAAAAGTCCTGAAACACAATCAAACATGAACTGGACACCTTCTCTGCAAATAAAACAAAGAACAAATTTCCCAATCTTTAAAATAAATTATATCAACTGAAACTCCAATACTAGAACAAATTTAAGTTCATGAAGCAAATATTTAAAAAAAAAAAAACAAATTACAAACAAAAATGAAAGAAAAATAGTAAACATTTTTTAATAATTGGTAAATTGGTTAAAACTAGCATCTGGAAGCTTAATGGAATGTAGATGATATGTTCTTTACTATTAGAATTGATTTAGTTCCTTTAGAAATAGCAAATAATTATGGTAAGGAGCTTTAATGATTCTCCTTTCCTTTTATGTTTTAGTTAGTCTTTGTTTCCTTTTTCTAGATCAGTTTAGTTAGTTTCTATATTAGCTTATTTAGTCTAAGTTTCCTTTTGTTAACTTTAGGAAAGTGTAACTCTCTCTATAAGAAGAGAGGTTTGTGTTGCTAATGAATTAAGCCAGAATTTATAAGAAAACAAGGAGAAGGAAACTCCATAAAACCCTCTTTATCTTTTCTGTACTTCTGCTGTCCAATGCCTCTTCCACCATAGGCAAACCAGTGCCAACCAAATCACCCCTCCCTCGCCCCTTGACACGTGCTTTTGCCCGGGAACACAACATTTAGCTAGAAACTAATGTGTTCAAACTAAACATGCCATCAGCAACAAAATCAAATACAAGAAATCTTAAGTGATGCTTCCAGATGATCTTGGAATAGTATGCATCAGCAAACTGTTTACCTCCATGCATTTCAGTAACACCTCCAGAAATATAAATTATCATATTAAAAGTGCAGTACCTTTGATGTGGTCGGAGGTACTTAACAAGTAAAGGTTCCACTGCTATAGGTTTTGAATCACAGCCTTCCTCCCCAAATCCTTCAGGCTGCCACAACAGCAATGGTTCCACATCTGGTGGCAGATATATCTCTTCTTCAGGCACATCTTTATGAGCAGTCTCAAGGACAGTTACCCTGTTCGTGATTGCAACCAAAGCTGGCCTATTGGACCCCCATGGCACAAACCTTTTGCGTGCCCAGAGACGGCGTGCCAGATGTTCATTGTTACTACTATAACCATTTGAGCTCGGAGGTTTAAAAGGCTTTCTGACGTTGACAGCTGCATCAGTTACTGAATAGACTCGTGGAAGTATTGACTGTCTTCTCACTTCAAGGTTTCCCCTAATTACATGACAACCGTGAACTTTCAGCTTTAACAATTAATATTCAGAAGGAAAGAAAAAATAACAATAACAATAACAATTCTAAATTAAATTATTGCATTAGTAATTTAGTATTAAGAAATCAAATTACTAAGTTTGAAAACTGGAAGCCCTAGCATCAAAGGCCTTCCCCTTCATCCGAATCAGATGAAAACACAAAACAAGGGTGATCATAATTTTAATGTTTTAACTATATTTATGGAGATAATAAATTTAAAGAACCTGACTAAAGCGGCCACATTTTCCGACTTCCGATCTTCCGGACTGCAGCGGAGATTGGATGTTTGAGCTCCATGGCCATCGTCTTCGTCGCCGCTATTACAATTGTAATCGAGGTCGTCCTCGTCATTGTCTGACTCAGAGATGAACTCGACACTCGAATCGCTTGGTTCTGAAGCGGAAAGAGCCTCATCTTCATCGTCCATTTGACGACCTCCTGTGCTTCGCTGAGTACTTGAGTTCGTTCAAGCACTGTTTTGTGCTCTCTGCATTTTAAATCTGCAGGTCCTTTTGGCGGTAAATTGGAGACACGGGTAAATTATGTTGGGCTGGTCTGGGCTTTAAGCGGTATGAACTTATCCAAATATCTGGCCCAAATGGGATGGTCGGCACCTGCATTCCCAAACTAAATTAACAATCGTTATATCCTACACCACGGCGCACTAACACCACGGCGCACATAGCACTGTGCGCCGCGCGCCTCCCAAAACGACGTTGTTTTTGGGTAGTGTTGGGAGACGCGGTAAGAAGTTGTTGAGATTATGTGTATTTGTTCACAACGTTATGTGTATTTGTTCACAATGTTATGTGTATTGGTTCATACAGTTATGTGTATTTTTTATACAATTATGTACATTCTTTTTATACAATTATGTACATCCGAATCAGAAAATTTGTGTGTATTATGTTAAGAGTTGATGTGTATTATGTTAAAAGTTTATGTTTATTATGTATTATGTTAGATTATGTGTATTATCTTTTAAAAAGAGTATGTATATTTTGTTATATAATTATGTACATTCATGTATAACATTATGTGTATTCTAGTATAACATTATGTACATTCTTGAACAGCGGATTTTTTTTAAAGAAAAAACTACTGCCATTCACTAGGGCGGGAAATTTCAAAAAAAAAAAATAATTAAAACGACGTCGTTTTGCATCTGGGCGCATAGTGCAACGCGCGCCGTGGTGTAGGATATAAATTGCCCTAAATTAATCCATCTTTTTAAAGCTTTAACCATTAATCGAATTGAAATTTTTATTACTGAATTAATCAAACTAAATTTTTTCAATTAACCGACTAATCGAAGTTGTTTTAACTACATTTTTTAATATTTAAAATTATAAATAAAAATTAACATTATCAATTACATCAATACATATAGTAATAAATTCATAAGAAAAAAAATTATATATATAATTCCGGTTAACGGAATTAACCGTTAACCGAAATTCTATAAAACCTTTAATCATTAACCAAATCGAAGTATATCGGTTAAAAAATGATTAATCGGAATTTTTCGGGTCAATCGGTTAACTGAACTTTTACCAAAAGTTGCACACTCCTATCTGTGCCTTCTCAATTGTCAAATTATATCATATACTAGAGTCCACTATACGTATTGTAGACTCTAATCCAACAATCTTTATGTCATGGAAAATTCCGTTGTTCACCATGGATGGAGAACATGGTCCCAACGGTGTTAGTGCACCGTTATCTTTTTTTTTTTCTTAATTAATCGCGTGACTTTTCTTCTTCATTTTCACATTTTGCGATTTCACTTTAATTTGAGGTGAGCAATGATTTCGGACATTCATAAATCATGAATCCATGCCTGCACATTCACTTTGAAACCATGTCTACACATTCCCGTCCGAAACCATGGCTGCTCCTCTGTAGCGCAAGCTTCTTCAACATTCATAAATTATGAATTTTCTGTTATGAGATTATGAATTTACAGTAAATTCATAATCTCATAACAAAAAATTCATAATTTAATAAATGTTTTTATTTTATGCGATTATGAATTTTCTGTTATGAGATCATAAATTTACAACACATTCATAATCTCATAACAGAAAATTCATAATCTGACCAAACGCGCACCGTTAACACCACATTAGCGAATGTATTTATTTTTTTACGTAAAAACGACGCCGTTTGGACCCGTGTTCACCATTCATGGTGAACACGTTTCCAAGGCATAATTTGCCCTAATCCAACATGACGTCATTTTATTTAAATTAATGTGATTTTTTTTTTTCTTTTCCTTACACTTGATAGACATTCACATTTACACTAAGTACGCAATCGTTAAACTTACATATGTAAGTACAATTAGACTATTACGATATTACCTATAGTGGGAGCAACAATCAAGTTAGTTTGGTAGGTATAAGGTTCCAAATTTGACTCCCTTAGACTATCTTATAATGTGGATTATGGTTCACAATATAAAAATTGTTCACGATAGACTTGCTATTTTTATATATTCGTCAAGATTAATTTTTATTTTAAAAAAGGAAAGAAAATAGAAATAACTTTTAGAATTATACTACTAGTTTACTTCTGGTAAAAAATTTATATATTTTTTCATCGAATACAAAAGTATAAAATTGTGATAGCATAAATTAGACTGTGATAGAGGTGCGTATTTATAGTTTACTACCCAAAGATAGGGATGATATAGAGATAGATAGATTAGTCTTATTATTGAAAGTACAATATATGCATTGTAAGTCTTAGGATTTCATCTAATGTGGGTAGATTCTTTGTTTACACCGATATTTGATTCTGTCTATTTAGTCATCGTAATTTAAAGCCTTCCAAATATTCTGTCGGGTCAAAATGTAATCACTTAGGATTGAAGATTCAACCTTTTGGGAGAAGTAACAATGAATCAATGACGGACAAATTACTCGGTCAATATTTACAAAATTGGTGACATTTTAAGGATTTTATTAGTTTCATCTCAAACTCCTTCCAATACAATGCAATATTATTCCAACATATACACACACAATGAATAAAATTATTGATCAAGAAAAGCAACCTGAATCCAACATACCAACAAATAATAATCTAAAATCAACATAATAATCTGTCTTGTGCGTGCGGTAAAGAATTATGGAACGAAATCCAACTTTAACACAGAACAAAGAGCACGAGCATTCCTTTGTCGTCCTCTAACAAAGAGACGTGCCCCGAGTCATCATGTTCATGAACTCATCAATGTCAATCACGCCGTCTCCATTAACATCACGAGCTTTCACCATTTTCTGGCAATCCAACAGGCTGCACCCGTCTCCCAGCTTCTGCATCAGTTCAAAAACTTCTTCTGCACAAATCTTTCCATCACCGTCCCTGTCAAATACCCGAAACGCGGAATGCAAATCCGTGGTTCTGCTCCCGGCTTCCTTCCTCTGCACTTCCACAAACTCGTTGAAATCTATAGAGCCATCGCCGTCTGAATCAGCAACCTCGAATATCTTCTGAACTTCCCGAGTGAGGAATTTGCTCTTTCCCAGAGATCTCAAAAAGGCTTTGTACTCATCAGGGGAGATCTTTCCATCTCCATTAGAGTCAAACCGATCGAACACTCTTTTCTGCTCGTCCATACATGGCTGGTAGACAGGAAAGGAGAAAGAAGTTTGCCTACTTGAGGAAAGCATCCTTGATGCCTTCCTCAATAACTTGCTTTTTGAGAGGCTGTACTGGATTTCTAGAAAACTTGACATTGTTTCGGCTTTTTTTTTTCTATGCAGATATGAGAAATTTCAAACTGTCATCAAACATGAACCAACCTTAAATACCAGAATGGCTGAGAATTGAGGTACAGAAGAGTCAAGACTTTCTGACAATCAAAGTAAAGAGGATACAAGAGAGCCGTGTTATTCCTTAGCAATACATAAGAAACCAAGATTCTTTAGCCAAGAAATAAGAAAAGAAGAAAGAGAAAGGGTAACTCTAAATAGAACGTATCTAGGAAGCAAAGAACATATTCTTGATTTTATAGACAAGTAGTGAGGCACCACAACTTGTTTTCTATAGATCTACATTTACATTTACCTCTATAAAAAGTCAAACAAGTACTGTGATTTGTAACCATCCTATGACTTAAGAATATAACAATTGGTGTAATCATCAACGCAGTGGGGTTAGGAAAAAAAAGATGTGTATATATGAGTATACACCATTGTCAAGAATCAAGATGACTATCCATTTTCCAAATCCTCCATAACATCAATATCCTTCCGTGCTGTTATCTTCTGCACATAACCTGTAATGAGAGATACAATATCTAGATTGAGGTTTGGCAATCTTAAAAGCAGCTAACTGCATAAGAAAAGCATAATCCGATGGGCTCATGTATGATGTATCAGATATGGCATCTCATAGCTGACAGGTAATAAGCATCAACTTAAGAACTTGGACACATGAGGCAAGATCAGAAAAATAGGACAAACTGTACAAACTTTCTAGAACATGAGGTTAACATGGGAGCAATGATTAGAGATAGTCAAGCAAAATAGCACATAGAATGGTTGTTAGACTGCATAGATAATGTCTGCCCTCAATAATCAATAGTTCCATCTATCACACCAAAGCTTTCCCTCATTATAGAGTACTGTAAAATGCTCAAAAGCAGTACAAATTAGATCAACTGCAATTAGAACAAATTTGTGAGCATCACTAAAAAACAAACAAAAAAATTGCTGTGCACCATGCCACCATGTACTAAGTTAGGAATATTGCGTTTGCACCTTTAGCAGAAATGGTTTGCTACAAGAACAGCGCTGTATAATACTGAATATGAAATTCCAAACAATCAGGACTCCTAAAACCTCTGAACTGTGAAATCTTGTTAATTCCCCTTAAACAAAAATGAAAGTCTACTGAAAGATTGTTAAAAATCTATCATTCTTAAAATAAGTTTACCAATGAATCTACTGAATTAAACCAAAAGCAAACTTATGGATGCTTTATGCTATGCAGACATACTCTGCAGGAGAAGAATCACATTCAAAGTTGAAACAATTAAAAATAACAGTCTATCATATCTGATAGAAGTAGTACCAATTCCAAGGCAGGGTATGCATTTGCAAACAGTCTCCTTCCCCCTTTTGTTATAGTAACTGACAAACCCTGTGCCTTGGCAGCTCCGACACTTTCCTGTCCATTCATAAACAACTTCTCTGCAATCCTAGTTAAGAAGAGCAAGAAAAACACAAAGTCAGTTTGCAGATTTAAGCGTATGCAAGTGGTTTCTGAGATTAGAAATCCTATAGACTAGTAGACCCAATTTTTGGTTTCAGATGAACTTATAAAGGTCCAAACTCTATGGCACAAAATATCAAGCACCCAAACAATCTCTATTTCATGGTTAATGTACTATGTGCACGAGTGAATGCACCTTGCTCGGGTACGATACGTTCATTGTAGCAATATCTAGATCGGAACTCGGAATGGACTAAGCAACACTCAATATCTACCACAAAACCTTCATTGAGAGAAATGAAAAAGAAATACGGATAAAAATTTGAAATAATGACCTGAACTTTGGGGTCGCAGCGAAGACGACGATCAATTTCCTCCGGAGACACGGGGGAGGTATCTGGGTAAGTCATTGGAAGAGGAAGAGCATCGTCGTTGTCGGTCAAGTAACTCTCCCGGGGACGTGACCACCTATCCTTCGCATTTGCCTTCGTAGTATTTCCATTATTAGCAACTCTCTTCTCGACCGGAGATGCAGCGGCTCCGTCAGAATTCAGCCCAATTCGCCCGGACCCGGGGGAAGCAGCAGCATCTGCTGCAGCGAAGAAGTTAAACCACGGCCGCGGGAAAGACGGTCCGGCCGGCGGGTCGGCGGCGGAGTGGCAACGGATAACTGTGGTGAAATGACGAGGTGTGACAGTGGATAAGGTGACAATGGGAGGCTTGGAAGGGGCGAAAATGGAGCTAGGGTTTACAGGCAACATTTGAAGGAGAAACTGTACAATTAAGTTTATTATTAATAGGGCTGCAAGTCTGCGACAATAATAAAGAGGATGAAGAAGAAGATAGGTTGCGGATTTACAACGTGCACCATGTGTCCATGTGTTGTACACTATATACTTTTACTTTCACATTTCTTTCCGGCCATAGTTTTGACACTTTCTTTTTTCTTTTTGAGGTGTAGGGTTTGACTTTGATTACCAAAAAAAGGGGGTAATGTTTTATTGAAAAGTTGTGACAAATACCAAACCTCATTCAGTACTCATGGTTTTGTTTGCTCGGGCTGCTGAAGGAGTAAATTATGGTGATTGTCTTTCTCCCCTAAAAGATGAAAAAATCACTGATTAGTACTCACAAAAAATTCATCATATTATGTGAAATTTTTATATTGTGACCGTTGAAATTTGATCATGTATCATTACTTACAATTTATGCACTCATAAACTAATTGAGATGTCCGTGTAGATTATACCTAATAGTCTAACACTAGGAATACATGAATTAGGTATCAAATGGAAATAACAAAACGAAAGGAAAAGATGGTGATAATAATATTCGCAAATTAATATCAAGTTATTGGATTTTTTTTTCTTTTTGTTGTTAGTTGCATTGATTTATGCCCTCAATACAATTTTATATATTTTTTTGGATGTAGCTAAAGTTTTCACAATCAGACACAATGATTAATACCATTAACGTTTGGTTAAGGGTGAATGAGTTCATTCCATACAATCACACCCTTCAAGTTACTACATTTTCATATATAGTTACATTTATTTTTCTTAAGAGTCAAGAACAACCTCAATAGCTTGTTTTTTCTAAGTTTTTTTGTGGGTCTCATCATCCAGTATCTCACTCAATCTAAAAAACACTTCTCTCCATTAGTTTTATTTTTTATTTTTTAGTTTTTCGTGGACCCCACTAATTTACTACACTATATTTTGATTATTTATTTTTTTATTATCATTATAAAAATTATAATTACATTTTTTTTTTTGAAGGGTAAAATTTAAACATATCAAAATTTAAATATAGTGTAGTAACACGTGGTGGTGTCACTATACTCAGAGGACCCCAATTAGTATTAACTCGTACATTATTCTAACTCATAAAATTTAACGACGTCGTTTTGAACCATGATCCACACAATAATTTGCCTTACACAATCCTTATACCATGAACCAGGGTTCACAATGCACTGTTTGACTCTGTGCATGTGCATGTGTCTTATGTTGTGAGTTTTTGTATATTGTATTATGAAACTCTGTATTTGAAACAACTTAGTAATTGTGTCTTATGTTATAAATTTTTGTGTCTTGTGTTGTAAAATTCTGTGACTATGAACACAAATTATGTATCTAAATCAAATTTGAAAAATAAGTAAATATATAACATGTGTAGGAATCTTTGTGTTGTGATTTTTTTTGTTTGTTTTGTTTTTGTATTATGAAATTTTGTACCTTACAATTATGAATTATATACATCATCCCTTTAATTTAGGGTTCATAATGCTATGTAGACGCCATGTGGACCGATCTTCTATGATATAGGCTATGTTTGACAAACATCGCTGAAAAGGTAGCTGAAAGCTGAAGCTGAAGCTGAAAATGGTTTTAATTGGAAATGGTAAAAGATGATAGGAAGCTACTAACTTTTGAAGCGCTACCTCAGGTAGCGTTCCAAAATAAATTATTATTTTAAGCTACAAGTTTATTTTGAAAACATTACCAAATAGAACTTATAATTTATTAGTAGATTAAAATAAGTTACGGAGTATAAGTTTCTAAACGCTACCTCAGGTAACGTTTCAAAATAAATTATTATTTTATTTTAAAAACATTACGAAATAGAACTTATAATTTATTAATAGATTAAAATAAATTATAAATTTTTAAATAAGCTCTGTCCAACAAACTCATAAATTGCAATTACCATTCCCGGCTACGAGTAGTTAATCGGGTAACGGCCATAAAACCCTAGCTCCAAAACCTCTTCCATTTCCCTCCCACCTCTACAGCCCCTTAACAGTTCGTTTTCCTTCAAGAAAGAAAATTCGGCCGGCAATGGAGACTTTTGAAGTCAGCGGAAGCACAATTTCTCTTGCCCTCTTCACCGACGTCTCCAATTCTAAGTATCTCTCTTTCTTTCTCACAAACGCATCCTGAAGAGCTGATGACAATTAACTGCTATTTACGCTAATTCTGTCTTTTCGTTTCCAATTCCAAGTTATTTTCAGATATTCTGAACTTTGGTAACTTTTTGTGGAATTAACCGTGTAGTTGGTTTACAACTTTGATGAAAGATTGCATTTTTTTTCCCTTGCATTGTGACAGGTTGTTTTTGGATAATTGGATTGGAGTGTGTGTGCGCGCATGTTTTTTTTTTGGAACCAAAACCAATCTTATTGTAGCAATGCAAACCAAAACCAAACAGAACCCTTTTGGTTTGAATCAATCAGTTTTCAGTTCGTTGAACATTACAAATTTGTTACTAGTTTTTGAATTGGGTTTGCAGTTTTTCTAATGTACAAACTAAAAACAAAAAAATATTTATTTGGTTTTTAGATATATGGGTCCAAAAACAAATTGACATTCAGATTCTACCCTAAAGGTCAGATTGGCTTGTTGGTTCTCGGATCTATTACTTGAATTCTCAAACAAATGAAAAAATGCCACTGAACTGAACAAGTAATTCCTAAATTCTACTAGCACTATTAACTCATAGAAGTCAATGAGATAAAAAGGTGAAAAAGCACATTTGAAAGCTTGAACTTTAGGCTTAGAAACTGCAACTTGCCTGTAAATTTCTATGCCAAGTGTGTCAATAAGAAATCAGTAATCAACTTTTTGCTCTTTGGAAAATTGTATGAACTTGTTCTCGTTGCAGTGGGATGTGATTGTAGCCAGCAAGTAACAGCTTTATGTAATTGTAAAAAGTTAAGCGGAAACATAGGATAACTAAGGATGCCTAAAACCATTTCATAGTAACATTGGCTGGTGAAGAATCCAACATAGTTTTAACTGAGGCACATATACTCACATTTTTTTATTTGGCGCAAAAACTGATGGAGTGCAGAATGCTCAGATGGGTTGGCATCAACTTCTATGTAGTACCAAATTACAAATTTCGCAAAAAGTTTCAAGTTATAATATACTGTATTCTTCTTTACCAGAGAACTACTGGATTCTATGCAAGCTGGAAAATTAGAGCCAGAAGTGGCACTACTAAATGCATCACTTGTGAGCATCTCTTCATTCTGATTTGTTATTTAATTTAACATACTGTAATTTTGTCTCTGCTGTTTGAGTTTTACCCTCTGGGATCTGATCACTTTGAACATGAACAGATTCCAGATGTTTTTCCTGTTTTAGCAGCTGCACATAAGACACTTCTAGCTAAATCAAGGGAATCTCTCACTACACGAACTCTCCATTCTGAACTTGTTTATAATTACTCGGGCTCTAAGCATGTAAGAAAGTTTTAAACACGAAGTTTTGTGGAATAGTTTCATTGCCCTGGTTCATTGACTTGTATACTTCTGGTTCTATAAGATATCAGAATCCTTAAAAAGATGTGGCATCTCAGACGACACAACTTACATCCTTGTGGCTCGCTTTGGTGCTTCAGCTGATGAGGTAAGATGCTATCTGGTGCAACTTTCATGCCAAGGTTACTAAAGACCTTTATCATATGAAATTTCTCTCTAAAGAGTAAAAATCACGTGTTTCTTTTGGCTAAGACACTAATACTAAGGTAATATTTCATTGTTAGTCACAGCACAGAGTTGAACTATACCATACAAATTAGGAATGGAAGAATTATGTCAAAAAATGAACTTTAATCCTAAGGCTTTTGCTTCATCTGCTTTCCCTGTCCAGATTGCAGCCATAGAGAAACTGATCAAAGGTACACAGATTGACCTGAAGGAATTAGATCAAAGATCCAGCCATGCCCAGATTCAAAAGGTTTGGTGTTGCTTTTTTCCCCTTCTAACCATCTAAATGTTTTAAGCATGAATTACATCAACTTCCGTCCTCGAATGAGCATTATTTGCTGTATCTTTCAAGTTATAAACCACAATTATGTTGACGTTTCATATTCACCAGCACTACAAGATATCAAACTTGGAGCTTGAGATATCGTCATTATCAGATGCAATAGCCTGCAGAATTGCTGTTCGAGATGCCTTGTGAGCAATGACATGATCTTCAATCTGCACAATGTTTCAAGTACTTGCTGTCTTTGGTTAAGGGCGTGGCAGAAGATTTACTACATTTCAGAGCTTGCATAATTAATGTAGTTTTCCTTTGTCATTATTGGCTTTGACTAATGAAAGCCTTTGTATTATGCTTGTCTTGTTGGATTAAATTTGAACAATTGAACCACACTGAGGAACTACCCCATACACATTTGTTATGTATCTTATAGTTCAAGACAGTCTGTCATTGCAGAATTCTTGGAATAGTATTTATGTTCCTACTATGTTTTCTTCAAGAGGGTGAAAGAGCTCAAAACCTTGAAAACATTCGCAAATTATTCAATGGACTCGGGTCTAAATGTTCACAATTTGTATATTACGAATACACAATGTTAACATATATGTAATTGATTACCTTGTTCTGTATTCACAAGTTCCTTTCAAATAGTGTAGTCACACAATATTAACAAACTAGGATTTGATGACCCTGTATTGTATTCTATAGTTGTTATGTGTTGACTTAAAAACAAGATTTATATTCTAGAAATTTACAATTTCAATGCTAAAATACACAATTTATATGTCGTTTAAGACCAGGAACCCTAGACCATGGTATAACAACTCAAAACCATTTCCACCTGTTCAACATTCTCATTAAAAGTTGACAAACATGAAATAAAGCCCACAATTATCTAACAATAATTAACAAACATGAAACAACCAATCACATTTCTGTCATGTGTACACTAATGGTAGGGTTGGTCCCTCCACAGAGGTGGTGAAGAGGACCATTACAGATTACAGGGAGCTAAAAATCCTACAAGTATAAACAAATCAGAATACAAACTCAATACACAAGACAACAAACAATCTATTTGCAACTAAATCCAAGTGTTTTCACTTCTTGCCAGGCATGCTGAAGGAAGTAACCTTCATAGGGGTTGCCACAACCAATGGAGCATCTGGGGAGTTGCTGATCGCGAATTTATCGTGCATGAACCGACTCTCAACGATGGATTCTTCCTTCAACACTATCTTGTAACAATAGCAACTCTTGAGCCCTTGCTGGTTCTTATAGCAGTCATGGGCGCTATCTTTCACCCGCTGGAAATTCCATACCACGCTAAATTTACCCACTGTTGCAACCAAATGGCGCTCTTGTTTTCCACTTTCAGTTACCTGAAATGTAATACGCAAGATTTATCAGGTCTGTCGAGCTATAAGATTCACTCTTATCTAAAGGAGAAACTTCATTTGATACCATTTTTGGACCAGTATATAGATAGCTAAATAATCCAATAGATAACTATTCCCAAAAAGGTAAAAGATTAATTGCAACTTTTGAAAAGAAACTTATCCAAAAAAAAAAAAAACTTACTAAAATCCTATACATATCAAGTAGGCTCAGTTTTTAAACTAATTAACTGCAATAATCAAGAGTGTTAAGCCAAAGATGAGTAGCTTACCCAAGAGAAGTGTCCACCATGGAACTTGTTATCTTGTCCAGCCATATGTGCATCCACAGGAGTCAGCTTCAATAATCTTGGGGCCGGGATTTTATTCCCCATCCGACCAGAAAATCCGGTTTTTGTTTTTCCATCCTTATCAGTGAACAAAGTACATATTAGGATCAAATATGTATCTGTTGTTCCCAGAATCCACTTACCATCATAGGTAACATCTACATGAGTAATAGGTGAACCAAGCCCAGGGAAAGCAGTCTTTGCCTGTCTCATTGAAGTCTTAGAATACAAACGAATCTTTCCATCGAATGACCCGACAACAATGGATCCATCCCCTGTAGATGCAAAACATTGAAAATTTGTTCCCCGAGAAAATTGGTGTCCCTGTGTCCAATGCAACACGGGTGAACTCGTATTAGCTAGTGTTTGCACCATTCCTTTCTTATCACGCGTATCCCATTGGCAAAGCCTACAGTCATCCAGTCCTAAGAAGGTTGATTCAGAAGGATCCAACTGGGATCCCTTTGTATCATTTGTAATATCCCTCATTGTTATCTCAGTCCCATCCTTCTCAAATTTCCACTCACTAACAATCTTCCCAGTCTCAATGTCTAATTGATGGAGGCCTGTAGAATGAGGCTTCCCTTGGTTTAAAGGACTCATTAACATCATATTCGTCTCGCCTCGCATCAAAAGTGCCTTCTTGGGTGTCACACTATCCCTCCCAGTCCTACCTCTATCTTCAAACTTCACATATACACCTTTTCCATGGATTCCATGGCTGAAATTCTTCACAACTTGAACCCCTGACTCATCCACAAGAAAGCTATTGTCCAAAGCCCCCAAGGCCAAGCTCTGTATCCCCCCACCAGCTGAGGCCTCCTCAAACTCTTCCAATAAGTCTTGATTATCCCTTACTGGGATTACTGGAGTTTTCCCAGGAGTCTCCCAAACCCCTTCATCAGCATCCTCCCACATCATATCATCTGCTTCCTCTGGCTTCAACCACCCAATAAAATCTTTTCCATAAATCTTAATTTTGTTCTCCTCAGTTGCCTTTATCCCATACACATTTTCAAACAAACAGTTCTGGAACTTGGTGATGAAATTCCGGTACTCCTCATCTGCTAAAAATTTCAGCGCCCACACTCCATTATCCACGAAATCAACCCTCCTTTGCTCTCCAAACATCTTCAGCTGCATACTGGTGGAAACTCTAGTGGAAATCTTCTTCCCCACCTTCAAAACCCAAAATCCCTCCTCTTCCTCCTCCTCTTCATTGCAGCCAAGTTTCGAACTTTTCACGAATTCGTAGCGGGTGAGCTTTTCACTAACAACCCATTTAGCTTTAGGCGTGTTACCGCCGACGTGTAAGTATAGTTTGACGGCGTTTTTGCTAGTGCTAGACCGTTCGGCTGAAGGGTATTTTAGCTTCAAAGCTTCCAACTTTGCATCAACCTCGTCTAGGGTTTTACGACTGACCTGTGGAGGAGTCCTCGCCGGTGCTGGACCCCCCGCCGCGTCTCCATACTGCTCGTCGCTTCCGCTCTCCTCCTCCTCCTCCTCATCGTAGTCCGATTCGTCAGAGAGTTCGAGACCTTCGCGACTGTGTGAAGCTCCCATTCTCGTTTCCTTCCGAGCAGGAGAAAATCAAGTCCAGTAGATGAGAGATTTCAGTGCCAGCAAAATCAAGAATCAGAGAAAGGAAATTTGGGGCCGATTGATCGTGGGAATTTGGAAATGGTGATTCTTGTCTTCTGGAACACGGTTAGTTAATAGTTATATCCGCCAGGCGCCAGGTGACACGTAATTTATCCGGTTGCCAGTTGGCGTAGATCTAACGCCAACACGTAAAGCTTCGTGGCTAAGTAAAGCCGGAGCGCCTTTTCTTTTTCTACCCACCCTTAAAAAAACAAAAAAAAAAAAAAAAAAACACATTCATTGACTCAAATCCAAAAACAGAACGTTACAAAGAAAATGAGAGGGTTAAAGTGTCACTCAGAGCAATCAGGCCTAGAAACAAGATACCTAGCTATGATATGAGTAACATCATCACTTTACAAAAATTAAAAATATTTGTAAAAACTCGCTCAATATGTTTTTAATGTCTCTAAGAATTAAATGCAATGAAGATTCCCACCCGTTACTTAGTTACTTGCTTTTTAGGAATTGCAACTTGTCAAAACCCCAAAATTATTAGGCAGATTTGTTCTTAGAATTGCAACATTTGAAGTTCTAGTGCGGGCTTATAAATTGGACTTTAGACAAAAATTATTCCTAAAGTTGCAAGTGATGGACTGTTAGCAATGCAATATTCTTAATGTTCATTCTTGATATAGTAATGCATTGTTAAATGATAAAAGGATTATTTTTTATATTTATTATGGATTTATAAGATTAGATTTATACAATAATTACTTGCAAAAATAAATTTATGTAATTGTTAGTTTTATTAATGTTATTCTAACAGAAATTTAAAACAATTATGTGTTAAGGCTAATGAAAAAACACAACATATTTGCTTCAAGAGACTTTTTTTTAGTAAAGGTGAATAAAAAGATGTTAAATATCCCCTTGAGGTTGTGTCCATGGAGAAGATGTACAAGGTTAGAGTTGAAGACAGATAGGTTGGAGAACACTCATCAATAGGAATGTTACCTCAATAGCTATATAGGGTGTGTTACTGTGTTTGGTTGACAGGTTTAACTATTAAGAATGAGTATCAAAGTCACTGTTATTGTTTGATTGACAGGTTTTGAGAACACTGCTATGAATTTTGATTACCTCTTAATTGAAAAACTTATTCCCTAATAAAATAATAGTTTCATTATATTATTCTTCCTCGTACATAATCAAACAACAATATTAATAATCACTCTCATTCCACCCTACTACCAAACATGCAAAATATTTTCACCAAAATCCATTACTATTACCAAGTATTTGATACACATTTCAATTTTGATTTTCATGTGCGAACCAAACACATCCATAGTTTTATAAGATAGGGTGTTGAATTGTATATTGAATATATATCAAAAGAGAGAGGGAAAAGAAATAAAAAATGGAAGCAATAGTCTCTGCCTCTGATCTCTGGCCGGAGCAAACTTTTGATTCACTTTTATTCAATTTTTATTTAGACAACAAATTACTCCGTATTTCTTTAAACGATGCATTGTCGATTTGTCGGATGTATGGCTTGGCTTGACCGACATTGGGAGCTTTCTAATCCATTGGTGGGACATGGGAGTCTAAATTGGAAAATGTTGACCCACTAAAGTCAAAGGGTTGAAAGCTGCTGGGAGAATTATATTATGCATCATCCTAATCCTGAAGTGGGGAGGATGATAAGATGATATAATTTTCCATGTCTTTTTTTTTTTTTTTTTTGCTTTTTAAATTATAAATTGATAAATGAATTGTAAACTTGTATAATGGCAATTTATATCATGTAGTAGAGTCTATATATCAATATGGATGATGAATTGGATAAAGTAAGAGAATGGTGATGAGTGTGAAGAAGTGTATTCCGTGTGGGTTATTTCTAGGCTTTTATTGTCACCAAAGTGAATCTCATCAGGCTCTCCATAATCTATAAACAATTGAAGCACCGATGGAGTAGAGGTAGCATTGTGAGACGCACCACTATAAAAAATTCAAGGTTGTTGAGTTGGGGTAGTGGTTGCCATAGTTGTGTTTATGGCTGATTTTGCATTGAGACGGGTGGTAGTAGAGACATTATTGTTTTTCAAAAAACGTGCTAATAAACTTTCGACAATTCCGTGTCTCATGATCTATGAGATGATAAAAGCTAAGTTGTACACATTAGTATTTCAGCCTAGATGCGGTTGAGATTGATTCGGCCACCCTTAGTGAAGTGATGAATTTTCATTATTGTTCTGACGAGTTGCACCATCTCAAGTGTGGTTATTATTGTTGAGCCATTAATGTGCAATCCAACTATCAGCTTAGGCTTTTAGTTGAGATGGAGCACATGCTTCAATTTGGTATCAGAGCCACCCATAAGCGATTACGGTCCACGTGTTGCTTGGAACCCACCCCATACATGAGGAGGCCTATTGAGCCGCAATCCAACTATCAGTTTAGACTTTTAGTTGAGATGAAACATATGCTCCAATTATTATTTGTTGATCGTCCAAATTAAAATTTTCTATTTTGTCTTTGCCTAAAATTTGCTTTAACAAAAAGTGTCTATTGGACAAAATTATTTTCATGTTGTAACCTTTCAAACTCCAATAGAAAGAATAAAACTAACTAATATTATTCCTTTTAAAAAGGTCAATAGGGATGAAAGTTGGATAAATTATGGTCGGAAACCCTTTCCCCTACCCCACTTGTATCTTGTTTCCCCGGACCCCGGCAACCAATTCTCCCCACCCGACAATGGCCTCATCATCTGTATCTTCATTCTTATAATTTCCGAACAAAAATTATGAAACTATTACAGAAAAGAGAATTGAACACATTATCCAAACAATTGAATTTCCTAATGATCGCCTCTGAGAGTTTAAGGTAGTTGAAGAATGTAATCGGAAGAGACGTCGTTGAAATCCATCAGCATCATCATCCATTCTTGAAACTCCTCGTCACCGTTCCGCAGTTCCATTTTTGCCGGCGCCGACCAATTTGTCTTGAGATCACTGTTTTCTTGTACATGTTGCCGCGGCTGCTGGGAGATAGAGGAGGATGATGAAGTGCTTTTATCGTGTTTTTGTCGTGTTTTTAAGGTTGTCGTTGACACGGTAGTAGTGTTGGTGTAATCGGCAAATGAGAAATTGAGCTTGGCTCGGGGACCTCTGAACTCAATGGCGGCTCTGTCGTAAGCCCTCGCCGCCTCCTCCGCCGTCTTGAAGGTTCCCAGCCAAACTCGCACCGCCTTCCTCGGGTCTCGAATCTCCGCCGCCCATTTACCCCACGGTCTCTGCCTCACTCCCCTGTAATAATTCTTCTTCTTCCTCTTCATCACCACCGCGTTGCTTTTCTTCTTCGCCATTTGACGGGCGTCCGGCGCGGCAAAGAAGTTGCACCCCAAACACCCCTCGTATTTGCAGAACTGACACGTGTACTGGAAAGGTAGTGAAGAGAAACGGGGGTGGGAATCAAAATTCGCATCCGGCGGGGCATCTCCGCCGTTCATGACGTTCTGCAAAGCAGAAACCATGATGGAGAATTCTTGGTGGGCGGCGGTGAGCGGTGATGAGCGGTTGGTGGCGGTGGAAAATGGTTCCGGTGGGAGAATCTGGGTTGACCAGTGCATGGTGAAATAGAAAGCTTTGCTTAAAATAGAAAATTTGAAGTGTGATGTTGGGAGAAGAGAGGGTGTCTTATTTATAGGAGCAGACGAAAGTGGCAGCTCATGGTCAAGTACGCTTGTTTTACACGGATTTTTTGGCTTCAGAAACTGATACCTACCATTTAGTTTCGTCGCACGTGGGTATTTCACTTTTAGTATTTAATGTTGCTGCTGAGCTGTGGGGCTGGTTGGTTGACAACGTGGCTAAACTGTGGGTTGATTTTTTGTTTTTTGCTTTTTTAGGTGATACAATTCTTGATGGCACAAGCATAAAACATACTCCGTAAATGAATAAGGTTTACAATTGTCTTCGTCTCTGGCTGGGTCTCTTTGTTTCCTAGTCGGAGACGAAGGTATCTTCTTCATCTCCGGTCATAAAGACAAAGGTTCCTTAATTTTTATGGTCGGAGATAAAGAAGGTAAATATATATCTGTAAAAATAAATATGACTCTGAAATGTTAACTTATATAGTGGTTCAATGATGATGTAATTTATTTACTCTGATCTAGTTACTATTCTCTTATACTCTAGGAGGTATATATTTACTGGTAATTCTATCCACTCAATAAATTACAAGTGAGACCAAATAAATTCAGTCAACCTTTTTTTTTTTTTGAATAAACATAGTCAACCTTTAGTTTGCTTAGGATTTCATAAAACTTCTCAAAGCTTGCTATTCAATCTCTTTCTACATCCAACAAGAGGTCTACATACACAAACTTCCATCCGAGGTTTGAATATCTTCCAACTAATTAAGACTTGTGAAATTTTTGATCTTCTTCGAAGCTATTAAAGTCTCTTTAGTGTCTAGATATTAGCGAATGAAATGCTTGAAATTTTCTCTTATATATGTATCTTGTGCATTCCTTTTGAGCGTTCTTCATATTTATAAATTGATTTCAAATTTTTTCATTGGATGAAAATTAAACAAATTTGAATCACCAACTTGCCAATAAAATGTTTCGTCAAGATTTGACAATTGTAGACTTTGTCCAACGGTTGTGTGCAACTTGTCCTAAAATATGACTTTTACAACTCAATATAATTTTCACTACTGAAAATTATAAAATTTTCGACCACCTGAAAGTGATCTTAAATCAAGTCGAAAGTCATGTTCTGACCACTTTTGGTATCCGAAAAAACCTTTGTTACTATTTCCGACCACTTTTTACTTTCAACTTGATTTAAGATCGCTTTTAGGTGATCGAAAATTCAATAATTTCCTATTAGAATAGAGATTGTTTGTCTTTTAAGTCAAGTCTTCTACTGCTTATTAGGTCATATATATATGCTAATAAACATTGCTACTTATAAAAAATCTTGATATTTGAAAGTTTTACTACTAGATATATACTTGTTTTGCTCGCAACTCTTGCTTGTTGTTGGTAATGTCTTATTGCTTGAGAACTTCTATTGCTCCAAAAACCTTACTACTAGTGAAGCGCTTTAATTTGCTACTTTGTGAAAATTTTACTGGGTCGAAGTCTTACTACGTTGATACTAGGGGTGTTCATTCGGTTAACCGAACTGAATTTACCGAATTTTTTTTTACCTTAACCGTTAACCGAAATTTGCTCTACCGTTAACCGAATTTTGGGAAAACCTTTAACCATTCTCCGAACCGAAATATTTCGGTTAAAAAATGGTTAACCGAATTATGTTGGTTCTGTCGGTTAACCGAAATTTGCACACCCCTAGTTGATACAATCAGTTACGTCACTTCTCAAATCTTGTTGTGTCTAGACTTTCACTTCATGAAAATTCTTATTGTTCTCAAGGTTTTATTATCTTCAAATTTGTGTTGGTACTCATCTCTTAATCTCTTATTAGGTACTTATCTCTTAATCTCTTATTACTACTGATGACAAAGATCCTCAAGGTTTTGGTGTGTTGAGTAACTTTTGCTACTATACATGCTTTATTGCTTGATGATGTTAGCATTTATGTCATCTATGAACTTGTACTATGATAAACTCCTATTTCTCCAGCAACTAATTAATTAAAGACAATATATTATCCTCATTCATTACTTGAATGTGATTAGTACAATAGTTTAACTTTAATTTACAAAAAATTTCTCAACCACAATCTAAAAATGTGCTCGGAAACTAATTAAAGAAACAAAATAGCTTAGGTTACATTGTTTATAGTTTATTGGATCAATCTAAAAGATCAATAAACATTTTTTAAAAAAAATCAAACTTAAAAACTTGTAATTATCAAGTGAACATGGATTCAAAAACAAGTGGCTAGCTAGGCTAAGTTTAAGTTTACGGTAGTTGAAGAATGTAATCGGAAGAGACGTCATTGAAATCCATCAACATCTTCATCCATTCTTGAAACTCCTGGTCTCCGTTACCTACTTCCATTTTCGCCGGCACCGACCAATTTGTCCCATTTTCACTGTTTTCTTGTACTACTTGCGGCGGCTGTTGGGAGATAGTGGATGATGAAGAAGGATTTGTAACGTCTTGCTGACGTGTACTTGAAGTCGTCACTGCCATGGTAGTAGAAGTAGTAGTATTGGTGTAATCGGCAAATGAGAAATTGAGCTTGGCTCTGGGACCTCTGAACTCAATGGCGGCTCTGTCGTAAGCCCTCGCCGCCTCCTCCGCCGTCTTAAAGGTTCCCAGCCAAACTCGCACCGCCTTCCTCGGGTCTCGAATCTCCGCCGCCCATTTACCCCACGGCCTCTGCCTCACTCCCCTGTAATTCTTCTTCTTCCTCTTCATCACCACGGCGTTGCTTTTCTTCTTCTTCGCCATTTGACGGGCGTCTTCCGGCGCCGCCGCAAAGAAGTTGCACCCCAAACACCCCTCGTATTTGCAGAACTGACACTTCTGCCCTAGCAGCGGCGGCGGCGGCGGCTCTGCAAATCCTTCGCAAGAAGTCTGGTGCGTGCTGGTTGACGTGGCGGCGGCTGCGGCATCTCCGCCGTTGATGACATTCTGCAGAGCGGAGACCATGATGGAGAACTCTTGCTGGGCGGCGGTGAGCGGCGGATGCGGTGATGGGCGGTTGGTGGCGGCGGTGGAGAATGGTTCCGGTTGGAGAATCTGGGTTGACCACTGCATGTTGAAATACAAAGATTCGCCTGAAATAGAAACTTTGATCTTTGGAGAGAGATATGATTTGTGAAAATGGCAAAGAGAGGTCAAAGAAGGTCTCTTATTTATACGTGGACGGGAAATGCTGCGCGGGAGAAAGTGCCAGCTCATGCCTCATGGTCATGGTCATGTACGCTTATTTTACACGGATTTTTTTTCGCTTCAGAAACTGAAGCCTTAGTTTTGTCGCACGTGGGAATTCCATTTTTATTGTTGTTGCTGCTGCGGGGCCGGTGGCCGACGTGGCTACTATGTGGGGCTTGCTTTTTTATTTGCATGTGATGTATTTTTTTTTTTTTTTTGGTACTACTGACTCTGTTACAATCATGATTGAAAAAAGTGGCTGGCGTTCCTTATGCGCTCGAAGGATGCCTATTGTCTAAGCGGGGATTAATCCGTGTCTAAGTGTCTGTGTATTTTTTATTTTTTAAAAATATGTTTAATGTTTTTTAATTTTTTAAGACGTGATAATTATAAAGTATTTAATACTTTAATAGTTAATACTAAAATATTAAATATTAATATAAAAAATATTTAGAGTTGGAAAAAATTTAAGGTTATTTTGTTCAAGATCGTGTTGTTTTGAGTGAAATAACTCATTTAAAAAAAATGAATAATAGTTAATCGACCGACTCAGTGCCTAGGCGGCCTAGTCGATGCCTAGGAGGCCTAGGCAGTCGGCCAGTGCCTAGCGCCTAGGGTCGATTAATCAGTGCCTAGGCGGTATTTTTGCAACACTAGTTACAGTACAATATCTATTCATACAGTAATTTAGTGTCACTAGACCATAAGGTTATTGACAAATCAATTTTTCACTTAATTTTTATACTTTTAATTATGATTAATTGAAAAGTTTCTTTTTAAAATAAAACAAATAAAATTGATCTCTAAAGCTAATGTCAATTTACTAGCGTATTAAAAATAGAGTAAAAAATATATAAAAAATCATTATTATATAGCCTTATAGCTCACATTTTGATTAAGAATCTCGCATTCATTGTCTAACACTTTAACCCATTCAATTTTGAGTAAAAATTTCAAGTATCAATTTTTCAGTCAGTATATTACTATCAGATAGACATAGACATATATCTACTTATTGTCGATAATTCATTTCATAAGTAATAAATTAACTATATTTATTCACTTTGTATTATATGCGGAGTATTAATTTTGATAACATTTGTATTTATATTTATATTTTAATTATATGTATTTTAATAGAAAATTAATTTAATTTCTTTCTCATTATTTTCCTTTTAATCGAAGGAAAATAATACCATTTTTTCCATCAATATTGGAATGTGCATTTTAAAATCGTGCTGGTTAGATCATGAAAAAGAAGTAGCCTCTAATCTTATCTGTTGTAGCTACGCAACAATAACCCTCGTGTACGGCAAACATCTCGAAGACATTCGACCCAGCCAAAGTATAATTGTAGAGTTGACTTGGTCACACTATTGTCCAATTGCTACGTCAAACTAACACCACACTTTCTTCCGTCAAACTCAGTTATCAACGTCTCATTATCCTTTGCATCCCTTCCTCATTTTTGTCCTTCATTTTTTTTATTGAATTATTGATTGGTTGCTTTTATTTAATTTATCTATTTATTTTTAAAAAAAAAAGGTATCATTTGCCAAATAGTTTCTAGCTCAATAGCATTTCTGAAAGGTTCGAACCCTAATGGAGATATTGATTCTTTGTGCTTCAATAGGTTGAGAAAATATGTAAAGACTGATATTACATTGTATCTAAATATAAAATTTCACAATACAATTCTTTTATAAAAAGTAAAAATTAAGAATATTTTAGTCATTAAATAAGTTGGGAAATAAAGAAAAACAAATATATATAATAAAAACTTCCCTCTATTTCTTATCGGTTTACGTTTGAAAGTAAATATATATTTTGAGTTAATACCCAAAATCGTCCTCGACTATAGTGGTTTTTCTCAATTTCATCCTAAACGACTTTGGTGACCTAATATCGTCCCAGACTTTTGTGTTTCGCTCAATTTAATCCTCCATTTGTTATTCCGTCAAATTGGTGTTAAATAAAGGGACAATTCAGTAATGTCAATATTGATCTCTCTTTACTTTCAACTTGTGAAGTGCAGAATTCCTCTTTCTTGTACGAATTACACTCAGAATTACTCCCGGACCTGCAAATCAAATTTTATATTCGCAGTTTTAGGAGTAATTCTGGGAGTAATTCGTTAAAAAAAAAAAAAAAAAAAAAAAAAAAAAAAAAAAAAAGAGATTTCGCAGTTCACAAGTCTATGAGTAAAGAGATGCCAATATTAAAATTACTGAATTGTCTATTCATTTAACACCAAATGGACATAATAACAAATGCGGAACTAAATTGAGCAAAAACACAAAAGTCTGGGACTAAATTGAGCAAAACACAAAAGTCTGGGACGATATTAGGTCACCAAAGTCGTTTAGGACGAAATTGAGAGAAGCCACTATAGTCGAGGACGATTTTGGGTATTAACTCTATATATTTTTAATACCAAATTAAAAAATATATTCTATTTCAATTAACATCAAATTAAAAGAAATATCCTATATCAATTGACGGTGACGGCTAAATGCATCATTTGAACTGAAATAAATTCGATACTCCGTATAAGATTTAAGAAAGCACGGCTCCACCAATCTTGTTGCATAGGTCATGGTTGACGCTAGCAGCTTTACAGAAGCCACAAATTAGTAAGCACTCCAATCACGAGGAAATGTTTTGTTTTATTTATTAATTAATTAATTATATTATGCTCCATTCTATCTACTCTACAACTGTATTCTTTTAGCTGTTTCTATACCTGTTACAGACACTAACGACACACGGAACAACGTGTAGCATTAAAATGTCATCTCATCTATGTCTAACTGAAAGGAAAACTAGAAAAAAGATCAGATGGAGAGCCAAACTTACAACAACACAATCTAAAACCAATCTTCCAAGGCAGCTACAATGCAGGGTAAGGACTAAGGAGTCAGAATATCTTTCCAACTAGTCTTCATCCTCTGAATCTGCATATATTAGTTAGAAAATATATCGGTTATAGTTGGATTTTCACAAAAGAGGTGATAATGAATAATTTTGTTGGTCTTTTACGAATTTAAGCTTACCAGATCGTATATCTTCCCCAACTTGTCCTCTATTTTTCAATTGTCTACTGATCATTGAGCATATGAGAATCCACCAATAGATGTGGAACACAAGGAGGCTCAACAACATAGTATTGAAGACGTAGTATAATAACATATGACTTGGCTCTGGGAGCCTCAACACCTCGATCAGATAATAACTGGAAAGGAAACCATAAGGTGAAGTGCAAACTTGATGGGTAGGCGGGGAATGTTAAGAACTACTAATTATATCACAAGTTACCTTGAAGATCTTATGACCCAAAATGGGAAAATAATTAGCCGGAGAACAAGCCATGAAATTGCAAATAGCCCAAAGAATAAGCTGGCACCAAACTCTTTCTCAGAGTATTTGAACACTTTAGCAGCTTCCATAAAGACATCACTAGCATCATGTAGTGCAAGAATAATCGATCCAATTCGAAAGAACCTGTGAAAATGGAAGCTTCATTTGTCATCCTACCATGCATCAACTCTTAGATATTTTTCTTCATGACTAGAAAGATTTAACTAAATAAATTGATTGATAGTGCACTTTGCCTTTAAGAATATATTGGCCATGTACAGGACCTCTGGGTTTCACTTAAGTCCAACATATCAGCCATAGGCAGTGGTTAATAAAAAAATCTGGTTCTAGTTCAATCAGAGTCAATAAAGTAAATGATTCGGTTACCACTTGACCTTATACAATTAAATGATCTAGAGATCATGTTCCCTTCACTCTATCAAAGTTTCTTCACATTTGATGAACTAGTCAAGCAATAGGCGGTCTCAGTTTTGCTGTTTTTTAGCAGGTGATGCTTTCGCTTCTTGGTAATAGTTTACTCAGAGATGGTTAACCAATCTGAGTTCTTCTATACGTTACTTCAGAAGAGGTTTGTGATAAGCATCAAGCCATAAAAGATTTCACAACCATTTAGACAAACAGTACATTATAGAAGTGAATCGAGTAAGGAGTCAACTTAAACAAAATCATAGAAACAGCTAGGGAGATGTTCATCATTCTTCATTTAACATAAAGCAGGCAGCACTAACATAAATCAGCAGAAAACATGAACTCAAGCAAAATGTGATAAATAACACCTGAAACAGATGCCTGGAATAATTGTTCAATGAAATAATCACTAGTGACAGAAAAATCCAGACCTCAGACGGTAGGCTTTATTTGAACCTTAAATACCAACACAGACCACACACTGTTTTACCATAAGCAATTCCTACTAAAAACAAAAGAGGCTAAAAGACTTGTTGGGATAGTAGAAAATTACCTTGTAATGTATGAGTATGAAATCAATATGACAGTGATTACGTGATGAGACATCATTACAGCAAAATCTTTTCGTCGAGTTTCCCAGACGAGAAGGGCAGCAATGCTATAGATATAGAATCCACATTGACACATGTATACAAGTGCTATGGCAAGCCTGAGATGTAAAAAGCAGCAACTCAGAAACCAACAAAGTCATCAATATGTGAACATGTCGACAAAAGGGTCTCTTGCAGGCATATATAGGACATAAAAATGTTAAAACATTCTATCAAGAAAATTATGCATGCATTGAAAAATCTCTCTCCACAGGGCAGCTCCAGTCCTAATTGGGCAATAAGAGATTATATTACATTAGATTTTTATCATCTACTCATCCAGAAGAAAGATACGTAAGATTTGCTGAGTGAAATCAAAATACAAGTGAATGCAAAAGGTAATACTCACGGTAGCTCATGATTTGGCCAGCCTCTGAAATACTGCCTAGTATCTAGGAACCATGGCTCATCATAGATGGCTCTTAGGACACAAAACTCAACAGTGGCATAGTATGTAAATTTCCACATGGATTCAGATAATTTCACAACTTTTGCTCTTGTAGCCTCATTCATCCTTTGATTGGTAACTCCATTTCTCAGCAGCCAAGTAGAAAGTCTCTGGTAAAGATGTCAACAACTGTAAGAGCAGAGAATACAGATACATCTGAAAAGTGAAACTGATTGAGATAAAGTGAATTGTGATTTAAAGCAGATATCAACATACTTTGAATATTTTTAGTTGTACGTTAGATCTTCACTTCTGCCAAACAGACCATACTCATGCACACAATATATAGAAACCTCAACAGGAAGGCTAGAATTGTACTCGTTGATTCATTGATAAATGACAATTATTGATTCATTGAACAGTTAAGAAAATCCTACCAAGCACTCCATACTTAACAACAGCTTTTAATTGCAATGTGAACTGGTTAATTAGATTTTCATTTGTTTGCAACCTCAGCTCTCAGAGTACATGAGTATGATGTCTTAAAAGTTACAACTAGGTTATTTAAATGAACAATGCCTTCGTTCGGGTAAATATAACTCCAATTTACAAGCATCCGGAAGGTTAAGGATGAAGTTTGCTATGTTGAGTATGATTATACAAATAATGAGTATAGTTTTTATTTGTACAGGGATGGTGATCTTGCAACATATATGCACAATTATGATGAACATTGATAGAACATAAAAGTTGAGGTTCCTATCTTTTCCTCATAAATATTAAGTAAACAACAAATTAATAAATGCACGAAACCACCACTCATCAAGAGAGCAACAGTTTATTACATATATTTTTCTTCCTTAAGCACTGCTAGTGAGGCAACAAATAGAATACAGAGAATTTTCCTTCCTTCCTTCCAAACACAGCGTAAATGGATTTAAGTAATTAAACGACATACGCAGAGAAATAAGCTTACACGGAAGATGAATCTGTCAAGGAGGAACCTGGCGGCAAAGCAAACGAACGCGAAAAGAATCGCAATGATGAGATGTAACAAAATGGGAGCATCATTGTAAGCCAAAATCGATCCCATCACAGGATTCGGAACTCAATTATCCGTTAACACAGCAATCAACTTATCAATCCGCATATACGCATCGATCCCCCCCCAAAAAGAAATCCGCTCGCGGTATAATATGATTTGCCCTGATTCTCCGCGAAACTAGTTCGGAATGGCGGTGGGGGGTTGAAAGAGAAAGAGAGGGAGACAGAAGAAGAAGAAGGGTGGAAAAAGTGGAGGTGCAGATGCTGTGTGTGAATGGCGCGGGGGGTTGGGTGCTCAACGCCGATAGTTTTGGGAAATTAGGCATTAACCTGCTCAATAAAAAATACACGTGGCTGACGCAACGACCTCAATTGGAAATTATACACCCCCAACGTGACGCCGGCAAACTATAGTATCATTCCCGCCAGCTTGGATTTTAAAGTTTTATTCCCCTAACACGAGGTTTGGTTAAGATGAATGGATTAGGAAGAAAAAGAATTACAATTTGATGAAAAAAGAGTAAGGTAAATAAAATATGAATTCAAATTATATTTTTTGAACCTCAGTTGAGGTAATAGTATATATATGTAGGGTATCCTCCTTCCTTATAATAAAAAAAAATTATATTCTTTGATAGAAATGAATAGAATTATTGAGAAAGGAAAGAGAAGAAGTGGTATAAATATTAAAATGTCATTATGTATAATAATAATAATAATAACAATAATAATAATAATAACCTAGGAGAGTAGTGTCATTGCATCCCTTTTCTCATTTCCCACACTCATTATATTGAATTTCAACAACAAAAAAAAATTAATTGCAATTTCCTTCAATCAAGCACTGTAATTTCGAATGTCAAAAAATTATGTTGTAAATGAATTGTAACTACATCCAATCAAACAACCCATAAAAGGTGACAAACTCTATTTGGGAGAGCTTTTTATTTATTTATTTATTTATTTTAGAGCTTATAGCTTATTTTAAATTACAAATAAGTTATACTTCTGTTTGGTAAAATATTTTGAGTTTAAAATAATACGGAGTAGCTTATTTTGAAACGCTTCTCAAAGTAGCGTTTCAAAATAAGCTATATGCTTTTAACATTTTCATCCTTTGTTATTTTTATTAATTTACAAAAAATAACACCATTTACCATTCTTTAATCAAAACCCTAATTTTTTTTTTTTTTTTTTACAAACTCTTATTCTCTCAGTTTTTTACAGAACATATTCATCAATGTGAGAGATAAACGATACTCATCACCCTTGTGATGTAATCATTCAAGGTAATCAATCTTTTTTTATTTATTTAATCAGAGTAATATATATATATATATATATATCACCGTTTAAATTTGAATTTATAAATTTATACAAATGTCCTTTTATGTATTTGTACACTTATCCTCTTATTCAATAACTAAATTTATCAAACACTTAATTTCAATCATTTAACTTATTAACTACTAGCTTTTCAAATTTAGCTACTAACTTTTTCAGATTTCAACTCGCTTTTTAGCTACGCGAACAATCTCAAAACAGCCCATAATTAATTTGGAACCACAATACTCCTTCGTTTTTCAAGTATATTTCAACCATGTCTTTGTTTAGTTAATTTTTAAAAATAAAAATTGAATAAATTCTAAAATATTTAACAAATTTAATAATGAATAAAACATGCATGTTATCCAAAACTCCGAATAGGTAAATTCATTTAGGGTCGGTGCCGTTTGGAAATCCGAAAAATGACTTCTGAAAAATGTTTTCCGAGTTTCCAGTGTTTGACAAGAGGGGGAAAAATGAGGTCAATGGAAAATAATGTCTTAATCAAAGGAAAATATGTATGTTTTCTGGAAAAATGCATTCCCTTTTTTTTTTTTGAGAAGTCATTTTTTAAGAGATGTACATGCAAAATTTTTCGGACCTAATTTTTTGCGGGCTTTTGCGAGTCGACCCACCGAACTCGCGGGTTAGGGTTCATGCAACCATAGACTGTCCCATGCAAGCCGATCCGTGAGTTTTTTTTTTTTTTTTTTTTTTTTTTTTTTTTTTTTTTTAATTCAAAGTTCAAAAAAATAAGTAAAGCTCAAAGTCTACAAATAATATTAATTTTTTTATTTAAAAATTAAAAAAATTTATTTTTTAATATATATATATATATATATATATATATATATATATATATATATATATATCAATGGAATATTATAAAATGATTTTATCAAAAGTATCAAAAAATTAAAATTTTGAAATATTCAATTCTTTTCATTTTTCTACTCATTTTTTAAAAAATGAACCAAACACAAACACAACAGTTTTCCGTGTTGTAGCCAAACACCAGAAAGAAAAATGTTTTCTGAAAAATGACCAATTTTCCAGAAGTCATTTTTCTACTTTCCAAACGGAGCCTTAGTCTCGCCTCTTGACAAACCACTATATCTCTTAGCTAATTCATTCGTATTATATGGTGGGATAGATTGATTCGTTTGGATCTAATCCATTTTGGTAACTCTAGTCTCACTTTATGATTCAAATGTATTATTATGATAACAAATTAAAAGTTAGTTTGAATAGTGATCATATATAGTTATATGATGTGATTTTATAAAAATAAAATAAAATAAGTTTTTTGTTGGCTTGTTTTATTTTAAAACTCCATCACCCTGCCATCATGATATGTGACTTGTTAAAGTGTCCATGTATACAAAATTCTTTAATTAAACTTTACATAGGACATGTTAGGTGTACACAAATATTATAAGGTAGTTTGTCAATTATATAGTCTCTATATAGAGTAATATTATAAATATGTTCATCTTTTATTCTCTATTGATTGATATGAATAACAAGCAAGGTCGAGCTTAGCGCTTGGCTTCTATAAGCTAAGGCCACGCTCGGTGCTCGGGCTCAAGTGTCCAAGGTTAAGCTCGATGCTAGGCCTCGGCTGGTCAGGGTCTGGCCACGAGATATGGTAGAACTTGTGGACTTGGTCAAGGGGGCCCTAACCGTCCATCATTTTTCTCAAGGTAATTACAAGACTAAATTTAGTACACACAATTAACAATCCTACACAAGTCTTTAATACAAAACATTATTTTTTCATACTCAACACTTTGATTTTATTATATATTCCTTTAATTACTGATTTAATTAATCATAAACTTTCAATTTCTAATTATGATTCTTTAGTTAGTTTAAGTAAGGGCAAAGTTAAGATTAAGATTGTTTAAAAATTTGAAAGTTAAAACACCATGATGATTAACTTGGAAATTGAAGGATACGAGTAACTAATTTTGATAGTTTAAGTACCATTGAGACTTAAGAAGAGAAGAGTTGTGGTCCTTGTGGAGAACGAGCAGTGAAGCAGTGTGAAAGAAAAATGTTGCTCAGGTGTAAAAACTCCTTAAGTAACATGAAAACCATAAAATCAACCCGAATAATACTGTTATTGAAATGTGGGCCGATTCTACACCAATAAACCGGAACAAATCTTCAAAATTCCGAATAATCTCAATATCTGGCAGGATCAGGAGTCGCAAAAAGCTAAATTTGGAAGCGGTTTATCCCCGTCAGGTCTGTAATAATGTCCAGCATACGGTGCTTTCTTTATGGCTTAGTTTTTCTGTATGTATATGCGCCTGTATACGTCTGTGATCTTTTTTGCGTATATACTTCTGTTTCAATGTTTAATCGCTTATTTGGCTTGTCTACTATGATTGTATTTGGTGTTTGTCGTTTTGATCCAAATTTTTTTGGATT